GTGGCCGCCTGCGTTCCTCTTGGCCACTGTCTGAGGCTCTGCGTCCAGAGTCTCAGATCCTGTAAGCCGGACGGGGAAACCGGCCCGTGTCGAGTCACAGACAGAGCCGTGGACCCGCAGGGAGGGGTTCTGTGGCGTGTCCAGCCCTGGAAGATGCAGGGCTGGGTACCGTGCCATCACGGACGCCTTCCCCCCGCCTCAGGTTCCGTGTCTCCCCGCTGCAGCGTTCTCTGCGTCGCAGTTATTTCCCACTTTCCCCGCGTCTGTCACCAGACACCCCCTCCACTTGAGCCCTGGCCCACCCGGAGGACACTGAAGATACGATTGCTCTGGTTTCGTCAGGATCCACCTCCTCGCCCGACGCTCGTGCTGTCTCCACGCAACGGGGCGAGCGATCTTAAGAGATGTCTGCGGCTCCTCTTGGTTCGGAGAGTTGTCACTGCTTCTTCCCCAAATTCCAGGGGCCGTTCTGCCAGCTTTGTGTCTGCTCCCCATTTAGCAACTGCACAACACACGCCGCTTGCCCCCGATATTGTGGAGCCCCCAAATCAACCGAGAGCTGCCCAAGCCCTTCTCATCCCCCCCAGCTGACCGCCGAGTTCCCGGTGGCCTGACGTGCCCCCCGCCCCCCCGTTCTCCCACGTGGAAACGCTGTCACTTGTTCAGCTTCCCAGGGCACCCTCTTCTCTCGCCTGTTTCATGCTTCATTGGTCTCAGACTAATTTAACTGCTCGCCTTTCTCCCTCGATATCATCTCCAGACAGAAAGAACCTCTGCCACATTCTCCCCCGTCTTGGGAACTGTCTGAGAACTTGGCACGGGCGGGGGAGACTCACATCCGTGGTTGTTGGTTCCGCAGATGATAATCGGAGCGAGTTGACACATATGGGGTGCGGTTGCCTTGCTCTGTGGGGCCTCTGTATCAGCTGAGTATAATTGTGGGTTCTGCTTCCTTCGTTACTGCGCGTGTGTGAACGTTTGAATTTCACGGGCCCCCTTCTTGCTGTGGAGTTGAACGTGTTGCTATTGGGGGCTCGCCTTTCCTTGGCCGTTTGTTTCGGGCGTGTCTGGCTACATGGAAGGTGTGGGGCCTCGGGCGGGCGCTAGTCCACCCAAGCGATATCAATAATCCCCGTCAGCGCTTGGCTCTAAGGCTCGGATCCCTCTGCGGTTGTGATGACTCCAAGGCCTTGGAATCTGCCCCACCTGAGCATTCTGCGCTGGGCTGTTCGGGGGGATCATCATAATTTAGTGACCTCGCAGACTTGCAAAGGGCTTTTTGGTTTCCACATCCCTCCCCTGCATCATCTCGCTAAGCCCGTGTGGGTGGGGCAGAGCTGAGCGGCTCCAAATTCCAGCCCTGCCGCCTCTCCTGGGCCACTTGCTCTGTTTCTCAACCTCTCCACGCTGCACTTCACTCAGGCCAAGTCCCATGCAACGTGCAGACTCCTCAAATGACGAGAGAGATGTGGGAACCCTGGAGGCAAATGCCTGATAATACCTGGTGGCAGAGACGGGGGCCGTGGTCAGAGGAGGGCGGACTCCGCGCTTGTTCTGCGGGGAGGACAGAACAGACTCTCTTTCAGGAAGAAACGTGGTCGTCCGGTGCGGCTAGGGGGACCTTGTGTTTGGGGACGCAGCCCTGAGTCCACTGCTTCGTTGGAAACAACTCCTGCGAGCCTGAAAAAGTTGGTTGGGCGGGATTGGCTGGTTGACCAGATGTTTGGAATGTGAAACCATAGACTTTGGGCTTAATTTGATAATTATTGACTCATTCTCTGCCAGCACAGCCATGTTTTAGAAGGATGATGGGGCCAAAATGCAGGGGAATGTTCACGGATGCAGGTCCCAGCTCTGAGCGGCCTTTGCTGGTGTCCAAGGGGAAGGGATTCTTGCTATTTGGTTTAGAAATCCTCATCCTCAGCACGAGCGCCACTTGCAGCCTGAGGGTCTTGTTTTGTCTTGTGCATGGCAGGGTGTGTGAGTTGCATCCTGGCCTCTACCTCCTGGAAACCAGCACCTCTCCCCAGGTGATCGCCAACTCTGTGCAGAGATTTCCACACGGCCCTGCAGGACTAAGTCAGTCCCATTTTAAAACCTCTCACCTCGTCACTTTATCTAGTTCCCGGTGACCTCAGTAAATTGCAATCAACAAGGATCTGTGCGGTGTCGTGTATGCAGAGCTGGGAGGGTCTGTGTTAACTCCACATCACCCCCTTTAGTCCTGGCAGGTCGCCCTACAACGAGGAGGGGTGAACGGCCGGTGTTTCCTGGACCTTGGGTGAACTCACTGCTGGTCCCTCGTCCGTCACTCCCAGCTGTTGCTAATTTATTGCCTCTCTTCTCATCTCTGCCTCGTCCCGGGAAGGACTGGAGCGTGTCCAGCCTTACTTGTTAGAAAACATTCCCATTTATCACCGTGTGTGTGCAGCACGTGTTAATGGATGACCTCCGAGCAAGTGACCTTGTGAATGCATCTTTCTAGTTTCAAAAATAATGGGTATTTATGTCCTGAGAGGATGCTCTGTGGTTAACTCTCTCAGCTTATTTCTCCCCTCTCTGAAATATGAATTTTTTCTTCATTGGGTTCCAAGCACTAATAGAGGAGGAAGGATTTCAAGCAGCTCATGGTCCTAAAACTCCAGCACCTGAAACGCTTGCTGACCTCCTCCCTTCAGCGGCTGTTTGTGTTATTCTGATGGACGTGACGGTGCTGAGCTGCGAGATGGAGGAACTTGCGAGGCGCTCGTGGCTGGAAGCCGTTTCTCTCATGTCCCCGCCTCTCGTGGAAGAGAGACTTGGGGCTGGCTTTTCTAGGCAAACTAAACTTTATTTCTTTATTGTATCCTTTATTCCTTTCTTGAGTCCATCTTTAAACCTGGAGAAGTGTTTTCTTCTTTTCTGCGAGAGAAGGAGCCGCCATTTTAGCTTCCTCTTGACTCTGGCTGAAATCACTTTTCCTGGCCACGAGGATGATGACAAATACTGAGCACTGGTCAAATTGTCCTGCCAAGGCTTCCCCAGAGGTCTATCCCCCTTCTTGCCAGGTAGCTGTCTCAGAGGACGATTCACTTAAATCTCGCTGTGAAGAGCAGGTGGAGGGGCACCTCGCGACGCCGCAGGCCGGTGCTTATTGGAAATGGTTATGAGGCCTGTTAGCTGCGTGCCCCTGGGCCGTTTTTATTTGCAGTTAATGCTCGGTGTTTCCCGAGACTTGACTTGGAAGCTCCGTGTCCGGGGTGCACCCCGGTTCTTGTGGGGTGCTCTTGCTGTGTCAGAGGGCCCTTCTCCACCTGGGTGGGCTCCTGAGGTGTTTCCCAGAGTCCCGGTTGCTCCCATGCAGCAGACTCGAGAGCAATGAGGCCCAGGGCTTGTGCCTCACCTCGAAGCTTTCGGGGCTCAGGACCAGGTCTTTGAAACACGAGAGGCGAGCTCCGAGGAGCAGGTGCTGCCACACCTTTTGGTTCTGCTCTCTCCCCTCGCCTCCCGGCCACTGTGCCCCTCTGGCCCCTGCTCGCCTCTCTCGCCCTGTAACCCCAGAGATCCCAGTGTCTGCAGCGTCGGGAGGAAGCTGCCGTGTTGACTCCTCCCCTACATAGACGTTGGCTATTTATCCTTGTCGTCCTGACTTGCTTTCTGCTCGGACCCCCTCGAGCTCCTTCCATCTCGCTCTGAGTGGCAGCATCCTGCCCGGCCCTATGGCTGAGCGGGTCCCCTACTGGGGATCGGCCGTGTCTCGATCGAGCCCTTTATACTGGGGGCTCGTGCTGTCCCTGCCGCCGGGGCCAGAGCTGCCGTCAGCATGTGACACAGACTTCTGAGTCGACAGCTCGTGTTCTGGCCGGACGCCCAAGCGTGGGGCTGCTGGGTCGCGGGGAATTCCGATTTCAGTTTATTATTCCCGGGCCGCTGTCCAGGCTGGCTGTGCCAGTTCCCACCAGCAGTGCCCAGGGCTCCCCTCCAGCACCTGTGCTTGGGGGTCTTTTTAATAGGGCCCATGCAAATGGGCGTGAGGTGGTATGTCATCGTGGTTCTTTTTTTAATTTTTATTATTATTTTTTGTATATTTTTTACATTATTGTTCATTTTTAAACAGTGTTTGCTTCTCCCACCCCCTCAGGTGTCGTCCCCAGAGAATTTCCTTCCTCAGTGCACCCGTGCACCATCACCTCAGTCCCCGGTGCTCCTCCTTCCCTCTCTCTGATCCCTCTCCCGCCTCCTCCCCTGCAGGATGTCTCTGGTTTATAATTGTCTGTTTGTTTTTGTTGTGTTTTGTATTGTGATTATTTTTCCCCCGAGTCTTATTTGGTTCCGCTATATTCTTGCTATAAGTGAAACCATCTGATATTTTTCTTTTTCCTTCTGGCTTACTTCACTGAGCATCATTCCTTCTAGCTCCATCCACATTGCTGCGAACGGCATGCACTTATCTTTTTGATGGCTGTGTAGTATTCCATTGTGTATAGAGACCACATCTGCTTGATCCAGTCCTCTATTTTGGGGCATGTGGATTATTTCCAGGTTTTACCTAGAAACTATTTTACTGTAAATAGTGCTGCAGTAAACACAGGGGTAATGAAACAAGGACAGTTTGTTCAATAAATGGTGCTGGGAAAACTGGACCTCCACATGCAAAAGAATGAAACTCGAGCACTACCCCTCACCATGCACAAAAATCAACTCAAAATGGATAAAAGACCTGGACATAAGACCTGAAACCATAAAATATATAGAACAAAATGCAGGTCAAAGACTAAAGACATACCTCTCAGTAACACCTTTAAAGACTCATCACCCAAAGCCAAGAAAGCCAAGGAAAAGATAAACATCTGGGAGTGCATCAAACTGAAAAGCTTCTGCACAGCAGAAGAGTCATTGTGGTTCCGACCTGCCTCTCCCTTGTGAGAATGCTGGTGAGCCTCTCCCATTGTGCTTATCACCTTCCGGACAGCTGTGGGGTGGATTGAGGTTTAATGATTTCTGATGTTTCTCTCTCCCAGTGTCTGGAGCCGTGCAAGGAATCCTGGGACCTCCGGAAGCCACAGTGTCAGAGCTTCTGCGAGGTGAGTCCACGTGTGCTCGACGCTGTGCTGGGGGGTGGCTTGCATAAAGGCACCTGTATATTCCTGTGCAGCACGGAGAGCTCGGTCTCGTTCTGTGTGTGTGTGTGAGAGCGGGAAAGAGAGAGACTCTCTGCCTAAAGAAAGCAACTGTGTGTCCTTGAACCCGGCCGTCCAGCGCTTCCGTTGTTAGCTAATCACACCGAAGGGAATGAACTGTTACCACCTACGCTTAGAAGAGTAGGTGCCTGGGAAGGGGGCCTACTGTCGCCACCCCAACATTCCCCCATGTCTGATACAGGGCACCATAAGTCAGGCCTTCACAGCCCTCACTCAAGGGAGCTGGCACGTTATCCACTGTTTTTTCAAAATATTCGTCTTCTTTGGGGACCCAGTCCCAGCCGTCCGTGGTATTAAACCTGATGTCCTTTACACATCAGTGGCTGCAGACCAGTAGTCACCTGATTAGCTCCTGCATAGCTCATAGGTAAGGGTGACCTGTGGCTGCCTGGCGGTCACCCCACACTGGATGGCCAAGGGAGCACACCTTAGTGAGCTCACAGTGGCTTAGGCCTCGGCGAAGTGCCTTCTCTGCCTCGAGGCCTCGCAAGGCTGAAGTCACAGGTCACCGGGGCTGTGTCCTCATCTGGGGGACCGACTGGGGAGAGTCTGCTGCTGAGCTCAGGCCGATTTTCAAAAACTCTGCTTCCTGGCGGTGGTTGCTAGACTCAGGTTGTCTTGCTGGCCATGAGCTGGAGTCCACTCTTGGCTCCTAGGAGTTGCTTGCAGTCCTGGGCCAGTTCTGGGCCTTGTCGGGGAGGTCCCACATAGGACAATAGGAGACGCCGGGCCTCTAGTGCAGACAGACAGTCCTACAAAACAGCATCTGCTCACCTGCACCTGTTCTATTGGCGAGAAGGGAGTCACATGTGCCCCACCCCATGGCCAGGCACACACAAGAGGAGGCGATTACTCCAGGGCCTCAGTCCACAGGGCTGCCCTAGGCTGCGTTTGATGTGGAAAGCAGATACCAGGAGAGAACTTGGACTTTGAGCAGTGGTGTCTGTGCCATCCACACACAGGTCTATGCTTCAGGATGCACAGGTGAAACTCAGGCTCTATCGTGATGCAGTGCAAATAGATGCAATAGAAACATCAGATAAAACCAACAGCGTGTGAATGGATGATGGCGAGGAAGGCTATAGACGTATAAACTTTTAGACTGCAGTGCTGAGGAGACATCTCTGCTCTCTTTGTCCATCGAAAACAGCCACAAGATGGAAACATACAAATTCTTGATGTTGAATATAGAATAATGTTAATATTTAATAGAAATGTTAAAATTTTAAAAGAAGGGATCTCAGCCCTTTGGCACGTAGGAAAGAGCAGAGGCTCAGAAACAGCCAGCCAAGCGGACGACTCGAGGCACTTTTTCGCGTGGATTCTGCTGACCGTGTGGCCTGTGGCTCAGCTGCCTCGGAGTCTCGGGCCGCTCGGCGCTTGCTCTGGTAATCATGTCATCTCTCCCCCTCCGTGACTCCGGGCTCATCTCTCTCACGCCTCATGCCCGAGAAGGCAGAGGACACCTTCCTTCTCCTGGACAGGAAACCTTTCTCCCGGAAAGTTCAAACGTGCCAGACGCCTCTGTCACGGCCGCTCTCTCTGAAATAACTCCCAGGTCTTCTGGACCACGTCGGGTTTATCCAAGTGGGACTCGTGTGGATAGATTGTGAGCAGCGTGGGCAGGAAAGGTTAATTGAAACCTCAGAGGCGGAAGAGCAGATGCAGGCAATGGGATGGACCTTGTGGGGGGCCCTCACCCCTGGTCGAACACCCCAAGCCTCCCTGTTTCATTTGAGCTGCTTTGATTGTTCTGATAAGTGTATTTTTTGGGGGGCAATAAATGTCTGCTATTGGGTTGAAATAGACTGGACCCCCAAAATTACTAATCCCTGCTTCAGCATTTTTTCTCTCATTTGAGGGAACGTTGGTTAATAACACGGGATAGGTTTTTGGGGGGCAGATGCCTGTGACCTTCTTGTCCCAGTCGTCAGGACTGAAAGCTCTCTAGACTTTGCCCAGTGTTTCCTGGGAGACAAACTCCCCCACACCCACCCTCTCTCCTGACTTGGGGTGTTGGTAACTTCCCTTGCACGCTCATGATCAGGACATAACATTCCCTTGACACAGATTTTTCTTTCACTTTGCAATGCCCCAGTTTGTCTAAAAGTGGGTGATCGCCTCAAAGTTGTCCATCAGCAAAGAAAGAAGGGCTGGAAGACTTCGGGGTGAAGGGATTTATAGTACAAAGCAGACATTTGCTCTTGGCTCCTGGCTCCTAAACCCTTGCAATTTCTAAAGTGAGGAGCCCGAGAGAGAGAGAGTCTTTTTTCATGTGAATGCAGAGACTGTCCATGGAGCCTGAGATTAAAGGGGCTGACTTTTTATTCCTCCCCCAGCCCACGCTCCTGTCCTCTGCCCAGAGGAGAGGCGTGGACAGTGACTACCATCTCACATGGCCAGTGGGTTCACCCTCCTATGGGAAGGGAGCCTCCTTAAAACCCACAGTGGGGAGCAAGTGGGGCTTGGGGGTACTGGAGAGGGCAGGGAAGCTTGAGTTCCGTGAGCTGCCCTGGACTGGCCTCTGAGGTGGGAGGAGCAGTCTTAGGAGGCTAAGCCCCAGGACGGCGGGGCCTGATCTCTGCAGGAGCTCGGAGCCAGAACTGGGTCCAAGAGCGTCAGCACTGTGTAGAGTTCCAGGGCGTCCAGCTGGTGTCAGACGACTGGGTGGAGAGCCCAGTGGGAATCGGGTGCAGACACATAATATCTGTGAAGTTGAAAGGCTCCGTGTTTTCTAGACTGCGATTCTCATCACTGGGATGGGCATGATGATTTTGCAGGGCTGGGCCGTGTTTGCAAATCCTCCAAGCTGCAAACCTATTGGAAACGTCAACTTAGAAATCAAAGCGTAGATAACCACATTTGACAAGTTCAGAATGTGTTCGTTTTTAAAATAGATGATTTTAGACCGTCGATAATTGGATTTTGTTTCACTTTTTTTTTTTTTTTAGGATTTCTAGAACTATGTTTAAAAGTTTTGATACTGATATTATTGGCCATCATCAACTTCAGCTTTGCTGTAAGCCAGGATCTGTGCTAAACGTTTTACGTACTTGATTTGATTTCATGCTTAGGGTAATATTATACAACGGTCACAATTACTAAGCCTCTTGATAGAGCTGAAGAAACAGACTTGCGCAATTCACGTTGTCCTGAAATCATACAGCTGCTGAATGAGCTTCCCGGCTGCTTGCAGTCCTTTCTAGAATATTCCTCTGTCCTTAACCACAGAACTCATCCTCAGTGTTGATGGCTTGTCTTCAAAGTCTTCTTTCTCCTTATATGACTTTTTTTTTTTTACCGGATGGGACATCCATGTCTCCCTGCGCCTGCCTTTAAGATGGTGACATGCTAGGCATGTCCAGGGCCCCCGTGAGCCCAGTGCAAGAACTGAATAGGTGGTTAAACCAATGAAAACCCTGACTCTTCAGCAGTTTTTGGATTCTGGAATTAATTACACACCCGAGGATTAATCATATACTCAAAATGAGCAGAAAAACAGGACAAGGAAAAGGAAGTCAAGAGGATACAGGATGACTGTAATTGAATAAGCGGGGCATGGAATCATAGGAAAACCACCTTCCTACTTCTCATGTTTCCGGTTTTCTCCTAATTCTTTATTATTCATGACGAAGGTCAGCATTTGCCTGGGAACCAAATTAATTGCAATCACATCTAATTAATTCGTAGGCATAATGGCATTTCCAAACAAATGATAATTGCATTTCCAGGCATAAATTAGAAACATGTCAACCGAGAAAGCGTTCTTTTCTATTTCATCCTTTTAGTATTAGGTATTTAGGGGCCTTCTTTGAGAGATGAAACTGACCATTTATTTTCAATGGCATCTTTATTTTTTTTTTTTTATAAAATCTTTAAAGACGAATGTAACAAACTACCTAGGTGAGTAAAACCAAATTGTGATGACAGGTCCTTCCTACCATCCACAAGTAGCCACAGTTCTCTCTGCAGGGGAGAGTTAACATAGCTAACCTACAGCTGCTTAGGAATTCCTAATGAGACATTTAGTCTATAGAGTTGTAGACCCACATTAGTAAACATCATCATTTTTTTAATTGTAATGGTGGTGGTGGTGATCATGGCAATAGTGGGGACAGTAGTGATGGTGGTGGATGATGCTTTGGTGGTGATAGTGGTGGTGATGGTGATTGTGAGGATGATGGTGATGATAGTGGTGTTGGTGGTGATCATGGTCATGGTGTTGATAATGGTGATGATGCTGGTGTTGATGGTGATAATCATGATGGTAGTGGTGGTGTTGTTGATGATGGTGGGTGATGATGATTGTGATGACGGTATTGATGGTGATGATGGTGATGATGATGGTGATGGTGATGGTGGTGATGATGGGAGTGGTGTTGATGATGCTGGTGTTTTGGTGGTGATGGTGGTGATGATTATGATGATGGTGATGATAATGGTGTTGGTGGTGATGATGGTCATGGTGGTGATAATGGTGATGATACTGGTGTTGATGGTGATGATCATGATGGTAGTGGTGTTGATGATGGTGGTGGTTGTTGATGATGGTGATGATGATGATTGTGATGACGGTATTGATGGTGATGATGGTGATGGTGGTGATGATGGGAGTGGTGTTGATGATGCTGGTGTTTTGGTGGTGATGGTGGTGATGATTATGATGATGGTGATGATAATGGTGTTGGTGGTGATGATGGTCATGGTGGTGATAATGGTGATGATACTGGTGTTGATGGTGATGATCATGATGGTAGTGGTGTTGATGATGGTGGTGGTTGTTGATGATGGTGATGATGATGATTGTGATGACGGTATTGATGGTGATGATGGTGATGACGACGATGATGATGGTGGTGGTGTTCGTGGTGATGATGGTGATGGGAGTGGCCTTGTTGATGAAGGTTGTGGTGGTTATGATGGTGGTGATAGTAATGGTGGTGGTGCTGGCAATGGTGCTGAGGAAGAACACGCTTCAGATGATTCTGTATTCAAAGTCGCACTTCTCTCTATTGCCAGGAGCAGGAAGAGCTCACACATTTTCTCAAGATGGTTACCGCCATCCCCACATTTTCCCTGACCTGTACACATTGTTGTCCTCATTCCATTCACCTGGTAAATTATGATGAAGCTGTGATGCTGAACATGGAGAAGGACCTTGAGCACAAATACCATAAACCCTTCGGTGAAGAGTCAGACCAGTATTACTTTTCAACCCAAACCAGAATAATTGTCCTAGAGAAATGAGGGACAGCATTGAGATGTGCCTTCATTGCATAGAAACCATAGAACAGGGAAACACAACTCCCGGAAGATTATTGGACCAAATCCACATTTTTCCTCAGTCTAAGTTTTTGAACTGCTGTGAAGAGCCTCTTAGAAAAACATGGGTTTGGTATAACCCAGCAGAGCCAGATTTCATTCCTTGAGTCTTTGAGAATTTTGTCACAATAGCAGAAGGATTTTGAAGTGGTGAGGCTTAAGCTGGCAGAGGTAGGGGAAGGAAAAAGGCTCCACTTCCTCCCGTTTCTCCTGTTATACCTTGTTCTCCTACGGGAAGGAGTCTTAGCTCAGATACCTGGTGCAGGTGAAGCCACGGATTCCCAAGCAGCAGACAACACTAGCCAGACTCCATGCAGTGACTCCTACCTGGGCAGGGCTCATGATTTCAGTCATGAATATTTTCTTTCAACTCACAGAACGCACGCATTTCCTCGTTACACATCGCCACCGTCCCTCTTTGATGACTGACTTAGGTCTGGGCCTAAGTTTGCAACTTCAAAAGCCAACCGAGGAAAACACCTCTCCCGTAAAATGAGCTGTGAAATTGAATCCAAGAGAAAGGCTTGAGAGTTGATGATGCTTCAAATGTTTAGAAAGGTGCTTGTTTTTTAGATGAACAAGCAGCAAGTGTGTGGTAATTCTACACTGAAATGAGGCCCTTTCTCTCAACTTCACCTGCAAAGTTCTTAAATGGAGACGCTTGTCATGGAGCCAATTCGTAGGACTTCCAAATTTTATGTCTAATTAAGTCATCTTTGTCTGGCATCCACAATTCTAATCCGAACCTGGAAATTGCCTTTTCCAGTCGTGTTTCCCAGCTTTCCCCTTTTCTCGATTCATCTCAGAGGGGGAGACCCTTCCTTCGATTTCACTGTCAAGGGGATTGGGGCCGGCTGGGCAGCAAATCAATAAGCTGGCGACGCAGCCTGGTCTGCTGGAGAACAACCTTCACTGAGGTTGCGTGAATCCACACGGGATAGGAACAATTTCTAGTTCTCGCAGGGACATTTTAAAAATTGTGGTAAAAATACACTTAGTATTTGCCTTCTTTACTCACGTGGGTTTTTAATTCAACAGTGTTGGGGGAAAGACCAGGAGGAGCTCAAGAGAGCTGTTTCTTTCTCTTCTTGTACGTATATTTTACATCCTTCTTCCTTTTTGCAGAGTCTGCTTGCTCCTTGCAGGTGCCGTCCCCGCGAAATTCCCCGCCAAGTCCCCCGTGACGACCACCGCTGTCCCCTGGGCTCACCCCGCCCCTGTTTTGACCCTCCCCGTCCCGGGCAGAATGCCTCTGATGTATAGTTGCCTGTTGATTTTGATTTTTAATTTATTATAATTACTTTTTTCCCCCGATCCTGTATTTCGTTCCTCCACATTCCTCCTTGAGAGAGCAGTTTCTGCGGGGGAGGGACCTGAGACTCTGGGGGCTTAAACAGGAGACTCTGGGGAACTGGCACAGACATTGGTGCTTCCTCTCTGCTCCCCCCTCTCTTCCTGTCCTTAGCACACCTTGACCCTTGTTTAAATACGCTCAGGTGAGCAGCCTCGACCTCCAGTAACCCTGCCCTGGCCAGGCTCCCTGGTGTCTCCTGCCTGCGTGCGGGGTCAGACCCCGTGGGCAGTGAGCAGCAGAGAGATGTGGCTGGCAGGTGTCACCAGCTGCTAGAGGCCACGGTCCTGACTGAGCAGCCATGGGGGCAGGCCTTACCTGGGCTTGTCCAGGTGTGACCAGGTGTTGCTAGGTGTTACAGGTAGCCATCGGTGTCACCAGAGAGCACCATCTGACCGAGCACAACAGGCAGCACATGGGCAGGTCTCCCAGGTGTGCTCCAGGTGTTGCAGGTAGTGCAGGTGTCACCAGGTGCCACCAGGTGTGGAGTGCCATCTCCAGGCCTCCATGAGGAACATCCTGAGGCCCCCAGATGGAGGTCACCAATTACCTGGCGGCACCCTGCACGGGGGTGGCAGCCTCTGCGGGGCGTGACTGTCCACCTGCCTTGCAGGCCACGCAGAGTCAGAACTCGTGGGTCCTGCTCCGGTAGGGACGGGGCACAAACCGCCCCTCTTTGGGGGAACGAAAGCAAGTCTGTTTATTTGCAGCCGCCGGGGTGGGGGACCTGCGGGGCTGTTGTGACCTGCGCCCCAGCCCGGGCAGCAGGCCAGGACGCTCACACAGCTCACGCCTGCTCTCCCCCAGCCTCTGTTCCCCAAGAAGAACTACGAGTGTGTGACCAGCTGCGAGTTCCTCAAGTACATCCTGTCGGTGAAGCAGGGCGAGTGCCCGGGCCCCGAGAAGGCCAGCGGCTTCGCGGCCGCCTGCGTGGAGAGCTGCGAGGTGGACAGCGAGTGCGCGGGCGTGAAGAAGTGCTGCTCCAACGGCTGCGGCCACACCTGCCAGCTGCCCAAGACGCTGTACAAAGGTAAGGCGCCCCGGGCCAGGGCCTCCCCGCGGGCCAGCACAGGGGCCGCCTCGGCCAGCACCTGGACTGGGCGTCTGCATGGAAAGCAGCCCCAGGAGACCATCAGGTCCATTGTTTTACCATTAGCGGGTTGGATGGTTTTTCTCCAGGGAGGCTCAGTGAGATGCCGGGGAGATTTACGTCATGGAAAAGTAGGCTGGGGGCGGGGACACTTGAAATCACGGGGGTTTCTGTGGCCTCGGGGAGCGCTAACTTATTTGCCAAACCAGGACAGGGAAGCCCTGTTAGGGCCCTGGTGGCCTTGAGATATTTTGATGACCATCGTGAGACCTAGATAGAGGCTGTGCCTCTCCCAGCAGACGGGCCTCGGTTTACCCAGCGGGGCACTGACCGGTCTCCGCATCCATGTGTGTCCTGTAAATGAGACGGAGCTTCTTGATGCCAAGCTGTTGTGTGTGGACCTCGGGAGGTGGAGCCCAGCTGTGTTCGCTCTGTCTGTCTCCCTCTCTCTGCTACTTGCACACGTCAAATAGATGTTATTCCTAAATAGTCATTTTTAAAAACTCTGCCTGAAATAATAATCACCAGCAGTGCTGATTTTGAATGGTCTGATCTCCATCACTGTGTTCTCACCCTCCTGCATGTCCCGTCTCCTGGCAGTTCATCATCCCTGGGGATTATTCTCCTCAGTTTACCTTTTTTGCCTAGAATCCTGGGAAAACTGGCATACATATTACTATTGAAATAACTGCTGTTTTCCTCTTCCTATCAAGTGACTTTTGTTCTCTAAATGGATCAAAGGATTCATTGTTTTCATTCGCTTTGGTATCAACTACATAAAGCCACTCGTAAAATCCCGAAACTGCTGAATTTTTAAAAGCCGATTAGTAGGAAACCTTTTCTGAGATGGTGGATCGTTTGCTGTGGAGGTCAACAGCATCGACCCACAAAAAAGAGGGTGCTTTCACCATCATGCCTGGAAAGCCACTTGCAAAACCTTCAGTGTGGGAGAAGCTGGGCATATAAACAGGGACTATAAATGAAAATATTATTTGTATAGAAAAGCAGTGAAGAGTCCGAGTTTCAGGTGTGCCTGCTGGACCGGGAATGCCGGGCGTGGGGTCGGAAGGCCGGTGTCGGGGAGCACTAACCAAATGACTCCTGCAGTGGAAATCCTTGCTGGACTGCTGTGCGGACGGATCTCCTTGGGAAGTGTCAAACTCTCTCTTTTCCTCAAGTAGCTGTTTGCTTCGATTTGGGGCCGGGAGAGCGGTTCAGAGAAAGCAAACCCCACACGGAACATGATGTCTGCATGTCGTTGTTTTGACAGAAGCATACACACGTCTCTGTTACATGTAACTGCGTCCACATGTATGTGTATAAATACTACACGGTGTGTGTGTGTCATCGTCCGCTTGCTTTCTTCAAGCCCCTCAAGGAAGGCTGGCTTCCCTGTCCTGGTTTGGCAAATAAGGTAGCGTGTGGAACCAGGAGGGGCTAGTTTTGGACCTGTCGAGTCTCTGGATGCGGCCGTGGGTCATCTTTGTGCTACCAGGTTTCCTTCTCAACATCAAATCTCCGGATCAAGGCCCCAGACAAATGATGTGAATAATTGCTGCCCTCTCTGCCTCTCGGGTCTTTGCTAATGTTTTTTAATCTGCTACTGCTGACTTAGCGATTGTTTCTATTGTAGATCAATTAAAACATGTATCAGTAGCTACTATTTTTGGCTTACCGAGATCACTGACTTCTCAGTTGCTTGGCCTTATGGAACAACATGCAATTTTTCCCATTGAACTTAATGGCCAGCTCGTGTATAAAGTTGACGTGTTTGAATTAGATGTAGAAAGGATATTAGGAAGAGCCCCATTCTGTGGCACCAGGACGGACACCCTAAATTCCTCCTCTGGCCCTCACTCATTGATTATCTCCCAGGTAGTCACTCTAGAGAAATGCTGGCAAGCACTTTCTCAATTTTCCTCCTATTTTAATGTAAAAGACATTTATAGGGTCAGGACTGGCCACAGTGCAGGTTTTCTAAGATCCAGCAGACCAGGTAAAGGAGGAGTCAGAGTCCTCAGTGGTTTTTTTTTTTTTTTTTTTTTTTTTTTTTTTTTTAAAGAGGCATGTATTTTTATTTATTTATTTGTTTGTTTGTTTGTACATGCACTGGGTACAGTCAGAAGCGCGGGAGGGTGAGAGAATTCACCAGAGCCAGAGCGGGGAGCAGAGCAGGCAGAAGGACCGAAGGACACTGCTGAGGGGAGCAGCGGGCGGCAGGAGAGGTCTGCGCGCCATGCGGGACCCTCCTCCGGTGGCCGGGGAGCAGCCGGGGATCGAACCGGCGCCGCAGAGGCCGCGGGCAGTTTCGCAACCCAGCGCTCAACCGCTGCGCCACCGGGGAGGCCCCTCAGTGGTTTTTTGCAGGTCTTTTATTGGGGTTCACCAGGCATATGGCAGGCAGGGGAGCTGGGGGGCCGGGAGGCTGCAGGCCTCCCCAGCCCCCAGCAGTTCTTCACTCTATCTGGGCTCTCCGGCCTTCTCTGTCTCTCGGCTTCTGCTGCTCCTCTCTTGGCTTCTGCTGGCGTCCCCATGACACCCTCTTAAAAGCCCAGTCTCAGCCCAGGTGAATCCCATCTACCTAGGCCCACACCCTACTCCAGGTGCTGCCATCAGGCATGCACTCAGGACCGCAGGGTTCCGTCATCTCTCCTGATGGCGGGAGGGCAGAAAAGCCTGATACCTTTTACCTCACCCTGCAACATTGAAGTCACGGTGTCTGCAAGTCCCAGTACATTTCTGTTCAACTGGCATTTAAGGAACGTTTCAGAGGGGTATTGAGAGCCTGGCGTCAGTTATGGTCCATCCTGGGCACAGGCTTCGAGTAAGTATGACTCCGATCTATCTGGGCATCAAACACACCCCCAGATGAAGGGGCAGCTGGCTTTCTTGACGTTTGCATTTAAATTGCATGTCCCATCCCCTGTCCTAGCTTTCTTTGTGTTGCTTATTGGGGTCATTAAAACAAAAGCTGTACATGTAGAAACACAAAAGATCTGACACAATTCACTGTCTCCGTGAATATCTTAACATCTGAAATATTAAATTTCAGGACTGCAAAGGTGGACTCAGGACGCCTTCCACAATCAGTTCTTAGCGTTTCCAGCACAGGGCCAGCACCTGCTGTGATGGAAGCAAATTCCTTCCTGCCCATGAGCTTTGGGGAGCCCTGGCTGGTTGTTGAGCTCTCGGAGACCCCGTCTTCAAGTTTTCACGACGTTTGGGCTTGTAGCTATTGTCACATGAATGACCCAAACTGACCCTGACCCCGGCAGCCAGCCCTGAACACGGAGAGTGTATTTTCCATGTTTTTTGAAGCCCAGGTTTCTGTTCCTTTGGTTTTGCCAAAACACGCATTGCATTGTAAAGAGAGAGGGACCGACGTTGTCACATGCCGGGAGATGTCACGGCAAGGCGTCTTTTGGATTTCTGCATAAAAGAAGTTTCGATTTCACATGACTCATTTGCTCAAGATAATTAGAAGGGAACAGGCACCATCGGCATCACAGAGCTGTCTGCGGCAGCGCTGCGAGCACATCTGGCTGTGTGAGTGGGATGTGCGGGTCAAGCGGAGCAGACTCGGCCGGGAGGGGGTGCAGGTCAGGGGTGGGGTGCTCAGCCCACCTGCACACAATTACTGCGAGTGCCGAGTTCCTTCCAATCAAGGGCGCCGGCAGGGCCTGATGTACAGCAGATGCCGCGTTTCCCCGCATGCAAATCAGAAGAAGATCGTGCATCAAATGCCAGAGATTTCTAAAGGAAGAAATTTGAACTGACATCGCCCTGGTACTCCTCCTGTCGGATTAAAACTTTGAGTAGTTGAATGACGTTGGAGATTAAAAATACCTCCTAGGTGGGGGCTGGGGGCCGGGGTTGGCTTCTGAGCAGCTCAGGTTACTTCAGCAGCTGGAGATTGATGTGGGGATTATACCTGGGGGAGCGGAGGGGAAGGTGGGCTGGGAGGCTCCGAGAATGAGCCGCGTGAGTAGAAAGAACGGACTGTCATCTCCCCTCCTCCGCGCACCAAGCAAGCCGGCGATTTGCTCTCTTGATGGATCAAAGGCTCCCCTCTCTTCCCGAATCGGCAGAAGTATTTGTCCACCGCCTGCCCGCCCATCTTGAATCTAGAGGGACAGGAAATGCTCCCTTTGTCCTGCTCGGGTATCAGCACTCTCAGCGAATTTGGTGCCTTCTTGGATTCACCTGAAGTGAAGAAAGAGCTGCTTATGGATTAAAGCTGATCCCTGAGGAACTCTGCAGCTTCCGCCAGCTGAGGAATAGGCAGAAGTGTCCGTTCTCCATGCCGTAAAAGATTCCAGCTCCTCACATTTTTTTTTAATACTATTTTTCTTAACATTTTTTAAATATGGTTTTTCTTTTTAGAAAGTGAGGGTAGGGCCTCCCTGGTGGCCTTGGGGTTGAGTCTCAGCTTTGTCGCCACAGCGGCCTGAGTTCGATCCCCGGCCTGCCAGGAAGAAACCCCCGGGGCGCAGCAGACCTCTCCTGGCTCCCGGCTGCTCCCCTCAGCAGTGGATTTCAGTGGCTCCACCTGTTGTGCTCCCCACTCTGCCTCTGGGGAATCCTCACCCCCCACACACACACCTCTGGCCTGCACCCCAGCTCTTCTACACACAAAAAAAATTTAAAAAAAAAAGAGTGAGAGTAAATGTTCGACTAGCGTTGATGGGGAAGAACACGCGTGTGCCCTTGGAGGCGCATGTGGTGGAGATACCTGCGCTCGGCCTCCTCTCTCCCCTACGGGGTTCAAGCGGAGGGGGTTGCCACGGTCACGGCGGTGGGCAGAATGCCCCGGGAGCCCCCGTCTGCTCAGCGGCTGTCTTGAGGGAACAAGACTGGAGTAGGCCCTTCCTGCGGGAAACATTCATTGAGCGTTCGGCGTTGTGACCCGTCCCTCGGCGGGCACTGGAGAAGGGACCCAGGTAGCCGCTGCAGCGACACCTGCTCCATCAGAGGCTGTTCGTGCAGGCCCGTCGGGAGCATGTTTGGGACCTGAGTGTGCCGGTCCCGACGGTGCCCGGACACAGTCACCATAGAGACGGGGATGCAGGACTTGCCGGAATCGCCCCGCGTGGCGGAACACAATCTCAGGAGGTCCAGGAGCACGTCAGAAAGGTCCTAAGACCCCTCAGCTCTGCCAACGGGGTTGTCAGGTTGTCGGGGGAGACGCATTTGATCTGGAGAAGCTCGTCCTGAGCTCGCGTCCCAGCTCCAGAGCAAACGGCTTCATCTCCCTCCGACTCCCCGGTGCTCCAGGTGCCTGGGGTTACGTCCACCTGCGTCGTGAAGTCACAGGAGGGGGGGTAGGTGACACAGCTGCTCGGTCCAGGGCCCCAGAACCAGGTCTCCCCCATCTGCACCACATCCACCCAGGCGGCTTCTAAATGAGCCCCGGCCGGCCGGCTCCGAAGCAAGACTTGGCGTGAACTGGGGTCAGCATGAACGAGTTGAAACCCTGCCCCGTCGCGTGCCGGCTCTTCCTTTGCGTCCACACGTTTTCCAGGATCCGCTGCGTCAGCCCAAGGAGAGGACAGAGAAGCACAAGGCTCCAAGCTAAGGTTTGGGAACAAATTGTCAAAGCTTTAGGCCAAAGCGCGTTCTCGGCACAGAACGAGGCTCGTGGCTTTGAGGCGTTGAACGCCGCGTTCCGTTCTCAGCCACCAGCGGGTTCACTTACTTTCCCGTCTCCGGTCACTCTTACAGCTTTGTTTGAAAATTCCCTTTCCGTGACGGCTGAGAGCCTGAACTGCGGTTCCTAGATCTCGCTCGGCAGCCACGCGGAGCTGCCGGGGAGCCAAACCGGAGTGATGAGCCACTTGAGGATGCACACGTGGGAGGGGCTCTGGGCGCCAGGCACTCGCTCAGGCCAGACCCGAGCGTTATAAACTCATCCTTTTCCGATTTCAAACCTAAGTCTACACGGGATGGGCCCCAGCAATCAACGGGGGCCTCCCTAAGACTCAGACTTTGGAAATCAGCCCTCCACTGTACGGGAGACTCCGCTTTATGATGTCTCCCTCCAGAGAGAGAGTCCCTGAGCCCAGAGACGTCTTCTGGAGCCTTCCTCCTGCTTCTGCTCCTTTCCAGCCCCCGCGCCAGGTTCTAATCGACGCGTTTGTCCGGCAGGTGTCCCCCTCAAGCCCAGGAAAGACCTTCGCTTTACAGAACTGCAGCCCGGACAGCTGGAGATCAGGTGGTCCTCGAAATTCAATATTTCCATCGAGCCGGTGATCTACGTGGTGCAGAGACGGTGGAACTACGGCATCCACCCCAGCGAAGACGACGCCACGCCCTGGCAGACGGTGGCCCAGGTGAGTCCTTGGGCGCTGCGGGGACCGGCTGTGCAGGTAGGTAGGCGTCCTCGGCTGCGGTCGCGTCCCCTTGCAAAGAGGAATAGTCAAAACAATAAAGGTTTCCTTGTAAGCTGCTGTGAGGAGGACAAATAATACACACATTGGCACAAATATTTAAGAAAACCCTTATTATATTTTTCCTTTGCATCCATTTGTTTTTTTTTTTTTTGTTTGTTGGTTTTCACAACAATGGGTCAAGAAGGAAATGATTATCTACATTTTACCAAAAAACAAAGGAGGTCCACATTGAGAGGCCAGCCAGAGGTATTTGTATTGTGCATCGAAACCTGGTAGGAAATACTTGGCTCTACTATAGCCCCACGACTCCTGCTCACCTAATGTGTGCTCTGCGTGTTGCACATGGACAGGGCATCAGACAGGTGACAGACATGGCGGCGACAGGTCCGCAGCTCTGTGATGGGACATCTCGGGGCATCGCGTTTGTCCTGCCTCCCATCATCTGCTTGACCGCAGACAAATTACATAATATTTCTGAACCTCAGTTTCCCCCGGGACAAAAAAAAGATAAACCTCATTCCCCTGGTTTATTGAACAAATGCACGCAATTACCAGTATCCCGTGAGCGAGCGTGTGACCGTGGACTCTGAGTGAATGACGCTTGTGAGCCGTCAGATGACAGTTGTGGGAAGCATCTCTCTCCTACCATTTTTATAATCAGCTTGCGTTTAACATTTTATACCTCTATTTGGGTTCAAAGCTATGAGAGTTCCAGTGCCAGGGGTTCCCTGCATTTGCTAAACAAATAAAAATGCAAGAATGGCGATGTACACAGTGGGGGCACTGCCGGCTGAAGAAGGAAACTTTTACAGAAGACATGTGTCACGTGCCCACTTGTGCCAAGGGTTGTGAAAGCGATGAGAATAAAGTGTGTCTGCGGGGCCTGGAGCTGCCCTTGGCTGACCCTGCTGAGAGCACATGTGCACGGAAGATCATTTTCTAACCTGAGGGTTCCAGTTTCTTCCTCCGAGAGTTTGAGAAAAATTCTAAAGCAAGGCCAGCGAGGCAGACCAGACGCAGCCCCTCCGCTGGAGAGTCCGGTCACCGCACACCGAGCCTCTCTCTTTCTCCTGTGTGGACACCCCCGCTCCACACCAGGGCCTTCGGCGCTGGACGCAGACTCGAACCTCAAAGCTCCCGAGCGGGAAGTCGCCACCAGCTCGTAAATCTCGGCCAAGATTTGCCGGCTTCAGGACTGACCCGCCAGCTGCCTGGCGGGGGCTCCGGAGTTTATCTTGCAGAGGGGCTTCCTCTTCTGTCCTGTCGATGAGAAAAGCAAACTATTTTCTTTCTTTTTAAGAGCTGCTAAATGCACTGCCAGCTGTGAGAAAAGACACGGGCTTAGAAAAAATAAATTCTCAACGTGAAGTTGCCTCATGCGCTTCCAGAATCAAAATGCCTTCCGCACATGTGTGTCCAGAGGGAAAAGATCGCACCTTAAGTTGCTCAGATCACTTGGCTGCGAGGGTAGGATTCCCACATTTATTTGGAATGAGTTTCAGTGTTCGGGTGTTTGGAAGAGCAATTCGGTTCTTTGTTGTGCTCAGTCGCAGGATCTCAAAGTCGAGCAACATTCAACTCATTGACACGCCCCCAAGTGAAGGAGAAGTTTGATGGAAAGACACATCTTACACTAGAAAAGTTAAGGCTGGTCGAACAAATTTCTGTATTTTGTAAAAAAAAAAAAAAAAAAAATTTGGGGAGGGAGCAGAAGGAAGGAAATTGCTTCAATAAATTCTAAGTTGTTCAGAGTCCAGCGTTAAGTTCTGTTGGATTCTCTTGGGGTCCTCCCTGAACGGTGGGAATTTTCCAAATTATTATTTTTTTTAAAGATTTATTTATTTATGTATACAAGCACTGGGTACAGTCAGAAGCGCGGGAGGGTGAGAGGATTCACCAGAGCCAGAGCGGGGAGCAGAACAGGCAGAAGGACCGAAGTACACTGCTGAGGGGAGCAGCGGGCGCAGCAGGAGAGGTCTGCGCGCCATGTGGGACCCTCGCCAGCGGCCGGGGATCGAACCGGCGCTGCAGAGGCTGCGGGCAGCTTCCCAGCCCAGCGCTCAACTGCTGCGCCACCAGGGGAGGCCCAATTTTCCAAATTATTTATGGAAACAACGGCTTATCAGAACACATCTTTTATCCCTTCTCTCCGAGAGAGGAAAGCTCGTGGATCCTGACTGTCACGACTTTGGCTAATGACGACCGCGTGGGAGTCTGCCCTTGTGTGCGTGCACTGCTTTCTGTGAGCCGGCGCCAATGTTCACAGCTAAATCCCCCAAGCTGGTCCCAGCCCTGCCAGGCAGGTAGACGGTAGACGCCTTGGGGGGCGTCCTGTCTTCCTTTGGCTCTGGGATGACGTAGCTCCTTTGCAGAGTCCCGTGACCTTACAGTCCTCTTCAGCAGACCTTGCAGGGTGGGGGTGCCGAATTCCACACCCTCCTTTCTGCTCACGAGTGCCAGGCTGAGCTGGGCAGTCAGCAGACAGGGTATGGGGCACCGTGTTCAGTCGCAGAAACTCAAGACAAAGTTGGGGTGTCTGCCACAGCACTGTGGAGAGCACCCCTGGCTTCATGAAGAAGACACTGGACACCGCTGATGTTGTTTGATGCCCCGGAGCTGTGGAAGGAAATGGGACCAAAGTCTGTGGGTCTCCCCCAGCATCCAGATCTTTCCTCGGACAGTTCGTGGACAAAGGTTTATCAACACGCTCCCCCTTCAGGGACGGGACCCAGCCTTGCAGGTGTTCCATGATTTACTAAAAACACCCCAAATCCCCCAGAGTCTTGGTTTGTAATATTCTTCCCTTTAAGAGTGTTGGTTCCCCTACCTGCTTCCACAATCATCTTTGACACTTACTTTCCGCGACCTGCAGACACTTCATTCTCTTGTCTGCGCTGTGCTGATGCGCCACGTGTGTGTGTGCTCAGACGTGTAATTGGTTAAGTCCCTCTGCTGTGCGTCCTCCAGGTTGAAAACGAGCCCAAGCATCTGTCATCAGCTTTTGACTTCACGGCTCTTTAACTCTTTGCAGCGAACCGTCTAGGATTGGATTAAGCCATCAGAGCTTTCCTAGAGGTCCCTTGGCGGGGGCGGCACCCCTGGGGCTGCACCTGCTGAAGGACACATGTCCTGAAGGGTGGGGCGAGGCCCAGGGCATACCCGGGTGGCTGAGCTAGCGTCTGCTGACACAGACCCACGGCAGTGTCCCAACGAGGGCGTTGTCTGTGCCCCGCACCGTCTCTCCTCAGACCACAGACGAGCGTGTTCAGCTGACTGACCTGCGGCCCAGCAGGTGGTACCAGTTCCGCGTGGCCGCCGTCAATGTCCACGGGACCCGGGGCTTCACCGCGCCCAGCAAGCACTTCTGCTCCTCCAAAGGTCAGTGCCCCTCCTGCCCTGCTGCTCCCGTGGGGGCGGGGCTGGGGGACGTTCCCGCTTGCGTCTGGCCAACGGGGGTCTTAGGGATGGGCCGATGGGATGGGGGTGCCGGGCCGCGGTGCAGGACACCCCTGGCGCTCACTGTCCGGACATCCCCACCTCGCCGTCAGCCTCTCCTGCGGCTTTGCCCCGAGATAGTGGCCTCAGGACCAGCCAGTGGTGTCTGGACACAGGTTTAGTTGCAGCCACTTTGGGTTCTTCAGGTTTCCTTGAAGCGGCTGACGGAGTGGCCGATCCTCTCTCTGCCTCACGACTTCCAGGAGGTAAATCCCTCCCGAGTCACTTCACTGAGGTGGGATGTTGTCTGCGGCCAGTTCTCGGCCGTTTTAAAGCGTGGGCAGAGTCCGCGGCGAGGGTGCCGGGTCCGTCTGGGGAGGCCGGAGGCATTGAGTAGACATCACACGTCAGCCCCTCCGTGTTGGCCGCTCGGGGTGCTTGGGGGGCTGGGGCCCTCGATGAACGATGCGGCTGCTCGATAAGCGTTAAGATCTGGCTCCGCAGAGAGACGCGGGTCGGGAAGTTCACTGACTCGTCAGGAATTCTCCTCTTCCACGGAAGCGGATTCAAGTTTCATCTTTCAACAACATGCATCGTGATGCTAGTGAAGACTGAGCGAGTCGACCCGACCTCTCTCGTGACGGGAAGGTTGGACCTGCTGTGAGATGAGCTTTCTGTCCCACGAGGCGAACGTCTGTGTTTCAGCTCTAGACCCGCTTCCCGCTGCCCGGCATGGCCGCGTCGTCCTCTGCGTCATCACGGGGCTCAAGTGCAAGACTTGCGAGCAGAATCATTGCGTGTGTGGATTCCGTGCCACGTAGGTCATGAATTTGTCACTGTTCCCTGTAAAAAGTCCTTTCAGGAGAAGACAGGCGCCTCTCCCTGCCGCCACCCCGGGGGCGGCGAACGCACCAGCGAGCCTTGTGCTGAAACCACAAATGCAGGCGCCCAGCCTCGCCCGCGGACCGTGTCTCCAGCGGCCCTGCTGGCTGAGACGCAGCGAGATGAATAGTCCTCAGCGGGTGTGGAGCTGAGGGCCAGCGGCAGGGTTGAGACCCACGGGGCGGCGACAGCTCCCCATGGTGGCTGCTGAGTCCTAAGAGGATGCATCCTTTCTGGGGAGCCAGCATGGCCGCTGCCCCACCTTCTGTCTCAGCCCCTTCCGCCTCTGGAGATGAAACCCACCCTCGAACTGGAAAGGGCTTCTGTGCAATGAAAATGCACCGTTTTGTTTGTTTATTTTTTTGAAGCATGGCAGGCGCCAATGAAAGGTGGTTCTGGTCCCCGCTTCGACAAAGATGAGGGAATAAGTGGCCATTCTCGCGGGAGGAGAGGCAGCCTCTTGGGAGCCGACGGCCCGCTCTCAGACGGAGGGCGGCCGGGTTCTCAGCAAGCACCGATAGCCAGTCTGGGTGCGCTTGCGGTGAAATCCAAATGCTCTGGCGTCTCAATTGTATTTTGGAGGGATTATTTACACATTTTCTCCCCGGAAGGCCCTGCTCTGCATTGGGTGAGAGGGGGTCAGGTAGAGTGTGGCGCCACCTTGGAAATGGCCTTGCATCCTTCCCCACACCCTGGAGGAAGTGTCTTCCAGCGCTTAGTAGGTCTCTCATGCTCTGATCATTCTGTGATGCATCTTCCCTGGACCACGCTAGCGCCGACCGCGAATGCCGCGTGGGGATTTTTCTTTGCAAAAGTGCAAGAACCGAAGATTGGCAACGTCCCACGCCAGACGTATCGGGACAGGCAGGAACAGAGCCGCAGCTTCACGGTGACCATAATGTGCCCCCACAGGGTGTGTTTTCATTTAATAAAAGCCCGTTTATTCCTGGTGAGCTCCAGGGCTGACACTGTTCCAGTTTCAAGGGCTCCAGGGGCCTAAGAATGCCTCAAGGGAGACGCCTGGCTTCCAAGGGAACGGTGTGCAGGGAGGACGCGTTCTCCCGTGTGTCCGAATGGAGCAGCTCGCGGTCTCGCCGGCGGAGGCTGGGTGAGGGGAGGCTTGACCGTGAACCCCACTCCAAAGAAAAGTAAAATTCCCGGGGGCGAGAAATGGGTGTCCTTCAGTTTCAGCCCAGCGCCTGGTCCTCGCGGCCCGTGGCCTTCATCTTCACGGAAAAGCTAAAACCCTCGTCAGTCCCTCCTTCCGGGTGATGTTTTCCACGGCACCGGCCTGCAGTTTGCCAGAGCGGATCAACCACAACGTCCATTTCCTTTTAGCTCATTTATTTCCACATAGAATCCCGTCCCCTTAGAACACCTATTTTTTTTTCAGCAGAAAATTCTGAGTTGTTCTTAGAGGAGTCGGTAGCTTCGTTGCATGCTTTTCCTCTTCCCAGGGAAGACAGTTCGGGCATGTTTTTCTTGCACACACACGCCCCTGAGTGCAAAGTGCATGGCTAGCTTAGCCAAGACCTCAAATCACTCATTTCTGATGGCGTCGGAAAGACCAAAATAGAGGAGACTGGGGTCATTTCTGATTCAACTTCTGTACGCTCTCCTGGATATTTGAGAAGGAAAATTGGCTGCATGTTAAAAATTAAAATGACAAACAGCTTCATGGCCTCATCGCAGCCGCCACTTGCTCTTTTGTGGCCTTGACGCAGAAAGTGGAAGCGGAAGGCGGCTGCTCCCTGGCCACCCTCCCCGCCTCGGGGGGGACGCAGCGGGCGGGGTTTGGGCGCTGAGCCGGCTTCCCCGCGGCTCCTGCCCGCAGCGCCCGTGCGTTCTGCACGACGGTCTCCAGTCAACAGGCTGCGGGGCGTGCGCGGGCCTTGCTCCCACGTGGGCCGCCTGCGAACGGCTCGATCGACAGCAGGGCCGATGGCCTGTGCCCAGCCTCTGGGCTAAAGAAGCAACGAAGAGCTGCTCTCACGCTCAAAACTCACCGCCGACGCTCCCCCGGCCGCACGTCCTTGGAGAGGACCTTGTTAAATGCAGCTCGTCTCCGTCATTCCGACCCTCAGCCAATCCCGAGTGTAAAGCGTGGACCCCGCGCCCCGTCTTGGCCCGGCTGTCGGCCTGGCTGTGCCCGGCCCGCCCTCGCGCGGGTGGCACCTTACGTCACGTGGCGGCGCCGCCTCCCGGGAAGGCGTCTTCAGACCCTCGTGGCTGGTGTGCGGGGCTGAGCGGCCTCCCCGCCTGCCGAGGTGGTGGCGGGGCCGAAGGAGGCCCTCGAGCTCCGCCTGTGCTTCGTCACCCGTGTACGTGCCTTAGACCGAGGTTGCAGACTAGTAATTTCAGAACCCGATCTGTCCTGACGGCCTGGGCGGCGTTGGGTCCGGTGCCAGGGCAGAGACGGTGAAATTGAGACACGGTGCGTGTGTGAATCATCTCACTGGGCGTGTGGACCCAGGGCGGGGCGGCCTCGCTGTGGCTCTCCGCTGGTGCCAGGGGCCAAGCCACGGGGCCGGTGAGAGGCGGACAAGCCCGGTGTGAGGGGGATTTCGATCTCCCCAGAGTGCTCGGGGCAGCCCTTGTTGACCTGTGTCTGTGTCATCTCAGCCCCGTTACATTGCCTTCCCCCCCGAGTTACGGGGTGTCAGCTCCTCGTGGCCAGTGGCTGGGCTGCAGCGCCAGCGTGGGTCCTGGACACGACAGGGGGCCTGGACACGCCTCTCTTCTCGCTGTGTAGCCCGTGTTTGAATTGGTGACCTCCGGGGGGACCTCACTCTGTGCTTATTTCCCGCAACTCCAGATCCCTCCTCCTCCCCGGCCCCCACCAACCTCCGCCTGGCCAACTCCAGCGCCAACGAGGACGGGACGGTGACCGTGACGGTGGCGTGGGACCCGCCGGAGGAGCCGGACGTGCCTGTGCACCACTACAAGGTGTTCTGGAACTGGGAGGTCAGCGGCAAGTCCCTGGTCCCAACCAAGAAGAAACGCAGGAAGACCGTGCATGGGGTGAGTGCCCCGGAGGCTGTGGGGACTCGGAGGGGCCTCCCCGCCCGGGAGCCAGGACGCCCACGCACGGCAGCTGTGCCCACAGTCCCCGAGGCAGTCAGCGTTAGCCCCCAGCTGCCGAGCGTCCCAAGGCGAGCCCGACGCCAGACAGCAAAGGAAGTGGGTGGCCAGAGAAAGACCCCCAGTGTCCCTCCACGCAGGTTCCTTCCAGCGAGTCCTTGTAGAGACCCTTTCAATTCAAGAGCCGTCACTGAGCTGCCGCGAGCCCTTCCCACCTGCGGCGTAGTCCGTGGAAGAGCAAGCAGCTCAGGGAAGGCGGGCGGGGGGTAGGTGTTTCTCATGGATTTAGAGAGCTTGGAATAGTTTCCTCTGCAGATGCCAAGGGAGTGTCCTGCAACGTGGCGTGTGTGATAAAGCACATTCTGCTCGTGTAAATGTTGGGTGCACCGAAGAGCGACGCCACGTTCTGCAGGAGACATTCCCGGACCTGTGTCATAAAAACAAACACCTTCCCCCTCGCTGATGAAGCTGCATTCCAGAGAAGTGTCTAAAAAGGCTTCAGAAAGGGTGACAAGACTTTTATTTATTTTTTTGGCACGCTCGATCCCAGTATCTGTGCCATGGGCCACGTCCAACCTGGCTCCGAAAGCCCATTAAATAGCTATTTGATGCCATTTTGGCTTCCTTGTTAGGGAACATTCTGACACTTCCAACTTTTATTCTGAGACCTTTGCAACAAGGGATAGTGGCAGCTTATCGCGCAGAAACAGCTGAGAGGGGAAGCTGTGTCACCCCAGGAATCAAAGCAAAACGCACCCTGATGAGATGTTGATCCCCCCCCAGCCGCACCCACACACCCCAGCAGTCACCCAGCAGCACGAGGGCTGGGGAGGCAGTTCACTTGCAGTGTGTGTCACTTTGAAAACACCCGAACTGTGAATTTGCACCAATAATGCCTTGGTCTGGAGTAGCGGGACTCCCAGACCGCGCGTGACGAAGGGCTTCTGCTCCGGGAGGCAGGCCCTGGCTCCTGCGAACCCCGAGTCTCTGCGTGAAACGCAGACGCGTTGGAAGTAAGAGGGGAAGTCAGGAAAACACAGGCGAGCGTGAGAAATCACAACATCCTCTCCCCGGGGGCCGTGGCTCCGTCTGCCGAGACCATGTCGTCGGTCCGTTCCCTGGGGGCTCAGACTCTGCGGGTTTTCAAAGAAATGCTCTTTTAACAGGGAATTTTGTTGCACTTCTTTGAAGACGGTTGTTAAGGAGATTGATCGGCCGGCGCTGGCTCTCAGGGGGACACAGCTGGTGGCTGCTGGGGCTGCCGGGCCACCCGCGGGGGCGTCCACCGCAGTCCAGCTCCAGCCTCCCCCTTGGTCCTCGGGAAAGGCGGTGCCGCCAGCCCTCGGGAGCCAGCCAGGGCGTCTCATCCCCGGAAGCGCGCGCCATTACCCAGCGTGGTGGCAGTAGCTCAGGACCCTTGGGTGCCTTCAGAGCCACACTCTGTCCTGAGTGGACATCTGACAGCACCCGAGCTTAGGGTCAGGAAGGTCGGAGGGGACCTTGGGACTCAGCGAGGGCGCGTGTGTGCGTGTTAGGCGCGTGTAGACGTTGCTTTTCACACTGCCCGTGGCACACGCCCTCCGCACACAGCTCCTCCTGATGGTGCCCGCCGGCCGGCCGGCCGCCGCGAGGCACGTCTTTCCCGGACAAGACCTCTTTGTGGACATCGCTGAGGTCACGGGCTCTATTTTAAGAGCTGTCTTGCGACCTCAGTCGGAAACTCCTCGTAGCGACGAGCTCCGTGCCCGGGTGCTGGGAACCCTCCGAGCCACAGCACAAGCGCCACGTCCAGAGTCCCAGGGCCGTGTCCACCTCGGTCCCACCACCGATCCTGGGCTCTCGCGGTAGATTCCCCCCGCATTGCAGGTGTGGGCCGTCAGCCGTTAGCAAAGAGACATCCCCAGCGGATGGCCCCCCGACTTGGGGCGCCCATTTCCTCAGGGGGGGCTCAGAAGAAATATCAAAGCAATACTCTTCCTGCCAATTTGCAACTTTCCCAAGGACACGGCAGCACCAGCCTCTGTTGATTGATCACAAACAATCCTGCTCTGTGAAGGGCCGTCTGGGGGCGGGCGGGGGTGGGAGGTGCAGGATGACTCACGTCCCTCCGCGCTGAGGAGACTCCGGGTAGTCATTGGCTTAGGGGCCTAATTTCGGAACAACGTTTGGCCTTTCCTTTTTCATGCTTTTTAAGGTCCTTGCATTTTCCCACCACCCTCCCCTACACCCCTCAATTCCTTCTCCCTTCCCGCCCTCTGAACCTCAGCAGCCGCCCTCCAGAAACCGCCCGTCGTCCATCAACCCACGAGCTGCCGTCACTGTCTCGCTCTGTCCGTCATCTGTCACGTCGACGGCCAGTACTTGTCGTTGTCGCTCTGCTGCATGTCGGTCCCCCTGACGCTTTCCGCCTTGCTGTCAGCGGCACCCTTTCCTCTCTCTTTGGGAGTGAGCGGCGTTCCTCGGCGTGGACGGGCCTCTTCTCGGGCCCGTCCGAGCTCGTGCTGTCCCCGCTGTGGGCATCACGGCCGCAGGAAACCCTCGTGCACGCGACACGCGAGCGGACGCTTCGTGCTCTCCGCGCAGACGCCGGCAGGGCGAGGCTGCGTCACGTGTCGCCTCTGCTTCTTAGTTCTTTCTTTTTTTAAATTTACTTATGCGCACAAGATGTGGGGTGCAGGCCAGAGGTGCGGGGGTGAGAGGATTCACCAGAGCCAGAGCGGGGAGCAGAACAGGCAGACTGATGAAGTACACTGCTGAGGGGAGCAGCGGGCAGCAGGAGAGGTCTGCGCGCCATGTGGGAGCCTTGCCGGCGGCCGGGGATCGAACCGGCGCTGCTGAGGCCGCGGGCAGCTTCGCAACCCAGCGCTCAACCGCTGCGCCACCGGGGAGGCCCCATTCAGAGTGTTTTAATTCAAGATCATCCCAGTTGTGTATTTTGATGATTTGGCCTTTGCGTGAAATGTTCCTGGCGTGAAGGTGACTCCAGATCCTCGCGCGGCAGAGCGTGACCCTGGGACGCTGACGACCTGCCCGGCGGGGGCGCTGGGGCGACTCCCTGGCGGGCTACTGAGGGGGGCCGGGTGGGCTGACGCCCCTGCTCTTGCCTCCTCCTGCAGTCCCAGAGCTCGGTGGTCCTGGAGCAGCTCCTGGCCGGCTGCGACTACGGCGTGGAGCTGCAGGCCGTGGCCTTCTGGGGCCAGACGCGGCTGAAGAGTGCCAAGGCCTCGCTGCACTTCACGTCCTCACCGCCCGCCGCCAACAGTAAGTGCCTGGCCCTGTGCCCCGACATCGCGTGCCCTCTGAGAACGCGGCACCCCCTCTCGCTGGGCTCGCCGGTGGGCGCCATCACCGCTTGAAGGCAGCTGCCTTCCAGTGCAGCGACTGAATCGTCGAGTCCCTGATTCCCGTTTTTCTGACGCGCGTCCACCGTGTTGAGGGACGTGGGCCCGGGCCAGGGAGCAGGGCCCAGGCGGCTCTGGGCACCGCGGAGCTCCTCACAGCTGCCTGGCGGGGGCTCTGGGAAGCCGGCCGGCTCACGAGAGCGGGGCCTGGCCTTGGTCCCTGCGGCGGCCTGGTCCTCGGGGAGGGAGCCCTGCGCAAAGCCTGTTCGCATGTCGGAGAGGCAGGGCTGACGCCCCCGGCACGGTGAGGCTTGGAATCGCCTCTACCCCCGGGGGAAACACAGGATGCGAGTGAGCAGGTTTGCCGGCAAGGAAGCGTTCAAAGAATTCGAGAAGCAGAGAAATTGTCTGTTTGGGGGTGTCGTGGATTTGAAAGAGGCTGATCTTCTGCGTGGGAGTCCGGGCTCAGTGCAGCCTTTCCCTGAAAATTCTGGGGAAACGTTTCTGTCTGGGGGGTTGCTTCCCCGGTTCTTCCAAATTCAGTCATTTATTCACAAGGGCACGTCTGGGAGGCCCGGCCTGAGTGTGTCTACGCAGGCGGGCCTTACCCCACTTGAGTGAGCCCCCGCGCTGGGCGGCTGAGCTCAGTCTGAGCTCGGGCTTTCTCTCTCTCCTGCCGCCAACGGCGTCACCTGCTCTACCTTTCGGGCGGGAGGCCGGTCTTCATGCTCCTGCTGTCTTTCTCCCTGCGCGTCCAGCTCTTCAGAAAGTGCTCTTGTCTCCAGCTTCAGGTGGGATCTGCCAATTCTTCCCTTGGCCGGGTGGCAGCCCCCTCTAATTGAAAGCCTCCTAATTAGCGTTGCCGCTTTTCCACACTCTGAGACCCCCGCTCTCCAGAGAGCAAGCCAAGGCGTCTGCCGTCCTGCTCATCACGTACCAGATTTCTCCTTCGTTGCAGAGACACCGAACATTGCTTCCCCGCCACCCCTCTGAACCCTTTCCAAAATGTCCCTCCTTCCATCCCGAATGCCTTTTCAGACCCAAATCCCATAAACTTCTGCCTCCCCTGCTCCTCCCTGGCTGCTGCCGGTGGTGGGGATTTCATCCATTGTGAGAAGAAGCCCGCCTTTCAGTCTCCTCCTGGCTTTTCCAATAAACAACATTCCTTCCCCATTAGAAGCTGGTTTGGGGTTGCAAACTCCCACACTTTAATGTATGTTTATTCCCATAACCAAAAGCAACGGGAGAAGAACCCAGCCCATTGTCACTGCGGAGGTGATGTCACCGAGGCCTCGCGCCGAGCCTGCACACGGAACTTGGACGGGACTCGGGGCTCCCCAGCACGCCCGGCGTCCTCTCTTCCCAGGCTCCTCACGCAACCGTGAGCTCGTGGGAGCCTCTGGCATCAGCCTCTTCTCCCATCCACCCCCTGCCGCTGCCCCGTCCCTCACCCTGAGTCACAGAGTGGCCGGTCGGCCTCAGAGTCTCGCAGGAATGTAAACCCGTGTGCCCTTCAGCATGTTTCTCCCCCCCAACCCCCGCCCTCCAAAATCAGAGCGTGCTTCCTCCTGCACGTGCTGGGTCTAGACCCAACTCTTCCCAGCTTGGAAAACCACAGCCCCCGAGACACGTCCAGGCCGGACGCTGTGGCAGGTCTCCCTGGGGGCTCCTGGCGGCTGCCCAGCCCCGGGAATAAGCCACGGGCCATAAATATTTACGAAAGCAAATCGGTCTCGTCCCCTGCCTTCCTGCAGCCTCCACCCTCTCCTCCCGTGGAGAGGTTGCGTCTGAGCGTTGAGGTGACTTGTAAAACGAGAGCCCGTGTTTCCTGGCCAAGAGGAGAGGTGAGGGTTGGCCCTGAATGTCCACTTTGTTGTCAGGAGTCCCTGATTCCGCTCATGTGGAATCAAGAAAGCAGTAAAAAAAAAAAGTGAAACGAGAAGTAGTTGTGCAAAGCACTGTCTTGACACACGCTGTCTGGGTCTCGGCGGCCGGCCGCGCTGCCGGCCGGGGCTGCTGTAAGATTCGCCGGGGTGTGGATGCCGGCGCGGGTGGAGTCCCGTCGACCCCGGTGCGTGACTGTCCTGGGGACACCGCCCCTGTTTCAGCACGAACCAGCTGCAGGTGAAGGATAATTACAACTTCAGCGCAGAAGCAGGGGAAATTATATTTTATAGGCAAGAGAGCAGTAAATGTCAGCATATAAATGACTTTGTGAGTTTTCCTCCTCTGGAGCTGCGCGCTCCGGGGCGTCTGCACCACAATCACCGCGGGGCAGGCGCGAGCCGGGTGTGCGCGCCTCTGGGCCGGGCGTCCCGTGAAGGTCGGAGGACACAGCTCCGTGCAGAGGGGACGTGAGCTGACGGTCTTGGAGGTACGAGGGCTGATCCCAGGTCCACGGGTGGCAGGTGTTTCACACTTGCCTCATCGCCCGGAGAGCCCGCCCGGCTCTCCACGGTCAGGACGGGGTGCGAGAAGACCCCCGTCTCTCGGCCTGTGAAATGATGCCGATGTCGTCGTCTGGAAAAGCAGCGCCGCGCCTCAGTTCTCGTAGCTGTGAGGACTCCTGAGCCGCCTCAGCCAGCCCTCGCCGCTTCTCAGAGGGGTGATTTTATGCCACTCTTTTTTTTTTAACGAGGTGCCACTGAGGCACGTCCTTGCTAATTTTCTGACAAGGCCGGGTCCCCCCGCCTCAGGGGCGCCCCAGTTTCTCTCTATTCTGCGCATATTCTCAGTCCTCCTGGCTTTTATTGAACAGTTGACGCTAAAATATTCCAAATATGAACCCAGCTGGTCCCTCCGTTCCCTCGCGCTCAAGGCGTGGCTGGATGGGCCGGCCCGGAGAGGCAGAGTAGACGGAGTCTGGAAAACCCATTTCTTCTCAGCGTGTGGTCAAAGCGAGCTTCCCCTGTTCTCTCCAGCAGGCCAGCTGGAAGGCGGGAAGCTGGAACGCCCCGCATGGAAGGGCAGAATTTCGACGTAGGCAACTTCTAAAGCCTGTGAGTGGCTGAAGCCGATATTTAGGGTCTGGGGTGCTTTACGGCACCCTTTTTACTAAACCCTACAAATTGCTTCGTGGACAGGGCAGGAGGGGGGGCGTAAACTTGACAGGAGGTGGTCTTGTCTGGTTTGTTCCCTCTCTCTACCTTGCACTCCCGCTGTCTTCTCCTGCAGCATGCACAGGTGCAAGCAAAACCCTCTTTCTAGGGGGGCCTCTGCAGAAGACACCCACAGATCACTTCCCGGCCCCCACCTGTCATTGTCAATAAAACTTTATCGACATGCAGTCACACGCAGGCTAGGTTTGCACCATATTGAAAATCAGCGCTTGAGAGAACCCCCAAGTTGTTCCCACCCACACCCGTTATGGAAAAGCTGACGATGCGTGACGATGTAATTTGGGGAGTACAGCTTCACCCCTTCTGCTGCCTGTCACGGGGGCTGCAGGGTGACAGACACAATGTGCGGAGCTCACTAAGCCAGGCCTGGAGCACCAGGAAAGAAGACAAAGAAGGTTTGATTCTTTTGCTACAACGCAAGGGAATGCACCCCAGGAAAGCCCGCGCAAGGTGACCTCGTCCCTCCCGCCCAGGACCCACTGATGACCATGCCGGGCGGGTGTCCCTCAGGGCCAGGAGGGCGAGGCGCTCTCGCCAGGCGGGGTTCAGGTTGAGCAGGACGACCAGGTGAAGGGAAATTGGGTCATTTAAAACCCAGAAAGCGGAGGTGCAAGAAGCTGGGTCCGTTTTGGGAAATCCTCACTGATGGGGATGCCCGAGGCCTGCACTCTGCAGAGGGCTGTGAATTTGCGGGGGGCCGGAGGGATCAAGAAGCGTGTTACAAGGGAGCCCTGCAGGCTGTGGGAGGCAGGGATGGCGCGTGTCCCGCCGACAGCAGGCACGAAGCAGGAAAATGAAAAACCTCCCGACGAGAACCAGACCCGAAGCCCAAGTGAGCACCCGGGATTGCGGGCTTGAGTGGCCGGGTGCAAAGACACACTGGGTGGGGTTTTCTTTTCCTGCGCACTGCCCCTGTCTGCCGCTGGCGCTCAGCACATCGTTCTTACGGTGTCTGTGCTTTGCAGCGAGGAGCTGGGGTGTCCGTTTTTAAACACGCAATGGGGAGAAATCATGCTAAAAATGTGTGTCCAGATGGTCCCAGTGTCTTCACCAAATGCCGTCCCGTATCTATGCAAGCGCCTTCTTTTTATTTTGTCCAGTTGTACAGATTTGCCAGTCGATTGCATGACGTTGTGATATGGGGGTACAACTTCACCCCTTCTTCAGTGCACATGCTTCCCTCACCCCCCCCCCAGCAAGGCTCCAGTGGACATACCCTGCCCCTTGTCACCCCCTTGGGTAAACAGTATATTTTTCATAAAGTCTATGAATTATTCTTGTTTTGATTTGCCAGTTTTCTTGGCTTAATATCCCACAAAGGTGTGAAACCCTCCAGTAACACCCCACTCGCCGGCTTACTTCACTTGGCATCATCACCCCAAGGTTCAATCATTTCAGTCTCCAAAGGCACCATTTCATCCTTTTTAATGACTGCGTAGTACTCCACGGAGTATATATTCCATAGTCCCTTTATCCAGTCATTGTCTGTGGGCATACAGGTGGGTTCCGCGACTTGGCGGCTGTGAGTAACGGTGCTGTGAGGACAGCCGGGCGGAACACTCTTTGTAGCTGTGTTTCCACATTCTTTGGGTCACGTGTATGATGTGTTCTAAGGACTCACGTTCCCAGAAATTCTACGGCTACTGTTGCACAGACAGGTGAGAGGCCTTCCTCAGACTCAGGCAGGGTCTCCCTCCTCCTGTGCCTCCCTAGCTGTGCAGAGCTCAGCAGAGTAACTAGGGGAACTTCGCCCCAGCTCCCAGCTCAGTGCCTGCAAAGTGACCCCCAAATATTTGCAGAAAGAGCGACTGAAGGAAGGGACTCTGTGCCCCGCTCCCCAGCACATGGGTTGCTGCCTTTGCCTTTCACCCGGTGGCCGAACGCATTCATGCTTCCCAGTGACAGTGATCGGAATTTGGGGTGCCTCTCTGTGATGTCAGCAGTTCTCAGATGGGCTGCCCGCAGCCGTGACTGAGGTGGGTCAGCCGGGCGGTGTGACGTGTGTCCCGTACACCCGCTGGACAGGCTCAGACTCTTTCCATTTCGGGGTTCGCAGCAGGCATCTCTGTGCTGCCGTGAGAAGCTACCTCTGTTGCTGTCATGAGATGCTGTTTGATATTCGTTTGCAGGCGTCCTTTGTGCCACGCAAAACAGCTACAGGGGAAATCATATTTATGCCTCCTACGTACGTGGGGTGAGCTCTCAAACGCGATGCATAGGGTGATGGCCGCTCTCACGTGGAGGATGACCTGCCGCCTCCTTTTAGGGGACCCCACACCTCCAGAACGCGGGGAGATGGTCTCGACTTAGGGGTGAACGGCCCGGCAGCCAGCGCTCATTTGACTTGGACAAGCAGGCAGCGGAGACCAACGACGAACAGAAGGGCTGGTGGGGCCGCCGGAGGGGGTGCTTTCTGAGGGTGCTGGAGACGCAGCGGCAGAGGAGTGTTTGGCAGAGCTAACCCCCCCCACCCCGGCGCGTGGAGTCATTTTGAACGTTGTTCTTGGTTGCAGAAGAGCAGCTTGGGGAGAGCAGAAAAGCCGGGGTCGCAGCACCGCCGCCCTTCCCGCGGAGGAGACCCACCAGCCCCCTGGAAATCGGGGCGCCCTTCCACGAGGACGGGCAGCTGCAGGTGAAGGTGTACTGGAAGAAGACGGAAGGTGAGCGGGGCCGTCGGGCTTTGGAAATAAGCAGCAGGAATTGCTTCCAAGTCCCCGTTAGGGGCACGGGCTTATTTCGCAGCTTCCTGCACAGGGATCTGTGGCCAAAACATGTATTATTTTGCCTGGTGGGTTTTGTTCTAAATGAGCTTTTGGCTGGTGGTGCAGGGGTAAGTCTCAGCACTGGGAAGCTGTCCGCAGCCACTGCAGCCTGAGTTCCATCCCCGGCCGGCCAGGGAGCTGCCCACAGGGCGCAGCAGACCCCTCCTGTCTCCCCACTGCTCCCCTCAGCAGCGGATTTCAGTAGATCCACCTGTTCTGCTCCCGGCTCTGTCTCTGGTGAATCCTCTCACCCCCACACCTCCGACTTGCACCCCAGTTCTTGTATGCATAAGTAAAGAAATCTTTAAAAATTAAGGAAAAAGACTGAGCATGCATAATCTGGAAGACAGAAGTCGCTTATCGACCTACTATTAATTGTGATGTTATATTAATCTATAAATCCAGCACCCGGTGCTAAAGCAGGTGGTGGCAGGTGGCAGAAACCTTTGGGGGGTCCAGACTTTGGGGCGGTGGGGCGCCTGTGTCCGAGCCTCTTCCAGAAGCCATTCTGTGGCCACAGAACCCCAAACCGGAGTCTCCTAGACACGTTTCCCAGGCGGGGACGCTCGCCGGCAACGCAGGGAAAGAGGCATCGTGAAGTCAACAAAAGACCCCACGTCCTGTTGACAAATGTTGCCTGCCGGGCCCTCGGCGGAGCCGCGTTTCTGTCCCGGGAGGGACAGCCTGGCTGGATTTCTGGCCTTTGCGGTTGTGTGCACCCCACATGGCTTCACACGCCAGCGGCTGCGGAGTCTCGAGTCGTCACCGAGTCCCGCCCGTGGATGCGCCGCACCGGCCAGCCTGAAAGGCCTGGCTGCCGGGACAGGCAGGAGGGAACCGTGCTCACGGGTCAAGACCACGTCCTGAGTCGGAGCTGGGTCGTAATGTCGCAGGGGTCACTTCTGCTGCGTGGTTGAGAACCCACCATGACGGTGGCTTTAGACTTAGGGCTGGGGCCGCATCCGTGTGGGCCTTTAGCTCAGACACACACGCGCTACTTTGAGTAGAAGCAGCTCCTGCCTGGCGGGCGTGGGTTCTGAATCACTTCACAAAGTCCCACTTGCCAAGAACGTGCTGGGAAGGGAGGGTTTCTGCGCGAGGACGGGAGGCCTTTTTCCACGGGAGTCCTTCAGCCGTCGCGCGCGCGGGAGCCCATGCACCGTGCCGGGGGCCGCGCACCCTGCAAGAAGCTGAGGTTCCCGCCCTCGGCCGCGCGCATCCTTTTGTGTCGCGGGACCGAGGGCTTGTGTTCAAGACACACGAAGGGTCCCCTCTTTTTGCCCCTTGAGAACAGCGACCTGGGCGGGACGTGACTTCCAGACTGTCCTTTTGGTCTGTGCGTTTGACCTTTCAGACCCCGGCGTCGCTCGCTACCACGTGCAGTGGATTCCGGAGTCTTGTGAGCACAACGCGACCCTCTGGCCAGCCGTGTCCTCTGGCACCACCCAGGTGAGCTCCCCTCCCGCCCGCGGACCCGTCCGGCCCGTGTGGGACAGTGGACACGGAGCCCCCGGAGAGGCCGCCTCCCGGACGAGCTGCTGCGCCCACGGCAGCATGGAAGACGCGATTATTCAGCCCATCTTTCCTGCTCCGTGGGGGCCGGGGCTGCTACCCAGCTGCCGTCGGGGCAGAGATGAAACACCGGTTCCGAGGCCTCGCAGACCAGAGGGACGGGCGTCCGAGCCTGTGCGTTTCATCTGAATCAGACAGAAGCTTTGAATTATTTTCCGGGCGGTGTGTTGGCGCGTCTGGGAGGGGGAGACTTTGCCGCGTCCCCAGCCACCACCGGGTCCCGGGATGACAGCCACTCTGGCCGCTGCTGGTGGCCCTCTTGTCGTCACGAGAACATTCACACCCTTTGGGGAAGCTGGCCGGGCGGACCGCGTGGCCCTGCAGTGTTGGGGGGCCCGTGTGGGGGCGCAGGGGGGAGCCCGCAACGCCCGAGGCAACGCTGCGGACGCATCCGGTTACACGCGGTGCTGCCGGCGGCGCCTCGTGTGCAGCGTGTCCGAGCTGGGACGGCCTCTGCCTGCGCTGCCGCGTCCTACTCGACGGGCACGCTTTGCTCGTGAACGTTCTCCAAAGCGGACGGGAACGCGGTTCTGAGCAGCAGCACGCAGCCCGTCGCTGAGGATGCCAAGAGAAGGGACTTGCTGGGGCGGCCGAAACACACAGACGTTTCCTGGATGTGCCTCGGCCCAGCCTGCCCCCGGCCCGGCCGACGCGCGCTTCAACGGCGAGAAGCAGCCCCTCGGAATAAGCCCCGTGTCCGCCCCAGGGAGGCTTCTAACCCCCCCTCCCTCCCTCGTTCTAGGAAAACTACGTGATTCTTCAGGACCTGGCATTTTCCTGCAAATACAAGGTGACCGTGGAGCCCGTACTGCCCAAGGGCCGCTTGAAGCCAGAGACGGTTTTCTTCACGACGCCTCCCTGCTCGGCTCTCAAGGGGAGAGGCCAGACGCACCTGCAGTGCCCTGGAGACTCGGGTGAGTGGCCCTGAGGGTCAGGTACCGCGCTGAAGGTTTTGTTTTTGTGCAGAACTGGGGTGCAGGCCAGGGGTGGGGGCGGAGAGAGGACTCCCCAGAGACAGAGCAGGGAGCAGAACAGGTGATACCCACTGCTGAGGGGAGCAATGGGAGACAGGACAGGTCTGCTGCGCCCTGTGGGTGCTCCCTGGCCGGGGATGGACCTCAGGCTGCAGCGGTGACAGCCCGAGACTGAGCCCTAGGCCACCAGGGAGGCCCCTGGTATTGCTTTGAAAACACGTCTGAAGCCCCAGGACCCGAAAACCTGCAAGTATCCTTCTTTATAAACGATAAGCTGGTGGTCCTCTGATTATAAGCCGCTTTGGAGGTGACACTTGATGCATCCAGGCGTTATTTTTACCTCTCCAGCAGCGTCAGAGAGACACCCCTCGCTGGCCCTCTTACCCCGCAGGAAGAAGCCCGTGGAATTGGCTGGTCTCGGCCTGTTCTATAGACACGCTCCGAGCTTATCCCGTCCTGTGCCCGTGACTTACCTTTACACGTTTTTCAAGCCCCGGCTGTGTGCCCTCACGCCTGTCTCCAGGCCAAAGCCCGCAGTGGAGGCGGCCGTCCCGGGCTCCGGAAACTCTCCTCTCCTAGTGACCTCTGTTGACCCTCTGACCGCACCAGTAGCCCCTCGGCAGAGCCCCTTTGTTCTCCAAGAAAGGGTCAGGTCTGGCCTGCAAAGCCCTCTCTCCTCCTCCCTGCCCCAAAGAAGGGTTCTCAGAACAACCCCAAAGGACCCCAGGGGGGCCCCGAGTGAAGAGATCACAGCCCGCCCCAGCCCCGTCCCCGACGTGGCTGCTGGCGCTGGTCTCAGCCGTGTCCACATCCCCCGGCTGCAGGTGCCACGCTCGCCAAGGCGCTGGCCAAGCCCGAGAACCTGTCGGCCTCCTTCGTGGTGCGGGACGCCAACATCACCGGCCACTTCTCCTGGAAGACCTCCAGGGCCAACTTCTACCAGCCGGTGACCGGCGTGCAGGTGACCTGGGCCGAGGTCACCACGGAGAGCCGGCAGAACAGCCTGCCCAACAGCGTCATCTCGCAGTCGCAGATCCTGCCGCCCGTAGGTGCCCCCGCCCGTCCCCGGTGGTGCCGCTGCCGCCCCCTGCCCCGGGCTGCCGTGTCCCCCGGCGTGCAGGGCCATCCCCCGCCCTGGCACCGCGTCCTGCCCGCGGGCGGCCCCGGGCTGGGTCTGCCGCTGGCCGGGGTGAGGCGCGGAGCCAGCGGGTGCTGGGGCGGGAGCGGGCGGGCGCCCACCGGCTGCGTGTGTCTGCAGGACCATCACCTCCTCGTGGTGCCCAGCCTGCGGCCGTCCACCCGGTACCGCCTGGAGGTGCGCGTGCTGAGCACGGGAGGAGAGGGCCCGGCCACCGTCAAGACCTTCCGCACGCCCGACCTGCCGCCCTCGGCCGCCCACAGTGAGTGCCCAGCCCCCAGGGTGGACCCGGCTCCTGCCAGGCCTCTCCACCCCGCACCCCTCGCCGTGGCCTCCCGTCTGGCTGGTCGCAGCCAAGGCCTTGGGGCTGCGTGTCTGCTCCCTGCCCCGCTCGGCCTCCTCCCGGCTCCCTCCTCTCTGCTTTATGTTCCTGCCTGCTGCTGTGGCCAGCGAGCGGGAGGCACTTGTAGCTCCAGCCTGCGCTTGAGGGGCTTCAAGTGTACCGTGAGGGCTCAGCTCACACCCAGGCTCTAAGCCGTCAGCAGAGACGAGGGAATCTCCGAGCTCGTGTTCATCTGGAGCTTTCCGTGGAGATCTTCCAAGATGCTCATGCGAGAGACCATGTGGCTCAGCAGGGCACTGATTTTACTGTAATGCGTGTCACCTGCTTTGCACATGCATGTGACACAGCTTGATGTTTACATGCACTGTCATGACCGATACATGACCACAGTTCCCACGAGTTTTCCTCTTCACGATCGGACCCAAATCAGTCTGCAGCCTTTACTGCGACCTCAAGTGAAAAACAATTATTTGTCACCCGCTGTTTCAGGATGAGGAGCTGCTTTGTTTTTATTTTAAACCGTTATTTATTTATGCATAGAAGAGCAGGCCAGGGGGGCGGGGTGAGAGACGCCCCAGAGACAGAGTGGGGAGCAGAACAGGTGCATCTACTGAAACCCACTTCAGATTCTGGGAGACCGGGGTGGGGGGGCCTATTTGCCCCAGTGCATTTTTTCTGCTTAGCATGAGAAGCCAGACGTGACCCCCCGGGGGGCTTGATGTTGGCCGGGGCTGCGAACTCTCCCCAGTCACTGTCTGCTGCACACACGGATTGAAGTTTCAACCTTTTTTGCGGGGCTCGAAGGGCTCTGACTGGCTTATGAGGTCGTCAGCTTGCAGACGGGCCCCCCGGTTCCTGCAGCTTGGCGGTCTTAGGGGGGACACACGGGACAGCAGAATGGGATTGAGGCCCGTGGCTGTGTCCTCTCATCCGAGCCGGGGCGTGGGGGGCTGTGGGAACCCCATGGCTGACACCCGTCTCTCCCTAGGACCCCACTTCAAGCACCACCCCCCGCATCACTACAAGCCTGCTCCGGAGAGGTACTGACGGGCCCGCGGGCGCCGGCCAGCGGGGTGTCCGTCTCCAAGGACCACGCATGCTCTTGCGGCCACTGGAGGGCCCTCCCAGAGGTGACCACGTCCCCCGCGGGGAACCCAGCCCTGGGCTGAGCCGGGCAGAGGCGCCCCGTCCCTCCAAGCTGCCCACTCAGCCCCAGGCCCCCCTCCGGCTCTGCTGGGCCCCGTGGCCTGCGGCGTGGGGGCCACCTGGGCCTGCAGAAGCAGGAGCTCGAGCCGGCGGGTCTGGCAAAGGCGCCGCCGAGCCACAAAGAGGCCGGGCTCATGGGGCAAAGGTGTTTGGTCCCTTGCTTGCCGTTGTGCGCCAGGACCGCCCGGAGCATCCTGCGGCTTCAGGCGCTGCGTGTTCAGAGCGTTCGGAACACGGTCATCACCTTGGTTTCTAGTGGACGCTTCATCCCCCAGACACACCCTTTCATCGCAGCCCTGTGCACCCCCGTGCACCCTCAGACACAGCGGAGCCGGGTCCGTGACCGGCTTTTCCCCAGCGGACGCCTTGGAGGACAGACAGCTCCGTCCCGGGGGCCTGCAGCGCGCTCGGCCCCAGCGCCGCTCCCGACTCGCTGTCTGTGGACGTGTTTTCTGAGCGTGGCCCACAGCCGCGGGCACCCTCGGGCCCCTTTTGAGTCTAGAAATTCATGAACCATTTGCTTAAAATGAAAACACCCCAACTATCGAGGGTTTTCAGGCTGTTGGTGGGACTTGCTTGTTAAAAATCAGCTCGGGCGTGGTAACGTGACAGTGTGGCTTGAGAGCCGATTCCTCAGCCTGGATTATGCATTTTGGGGGCGAGGGCAGGACAGCGCCTTCCTGGGGAGCACCCCCGAGTCTCAGCAAATACCCTCAGCGCTTCCCTCACGCGCTGCCGTCCTGCCCTCCTGCCCAGCGTCGCGTGTCCAGGGCCGAGCGTCTCGGAAATGAAGACGCGTCGTCGCCGGCACGTTTATGTTTCACCTTAATTGTCACGTTTGTGCCAACACACTTTTATGCACCGGTGGGGAGTTGAACGTGCGGGGTGTGTGCACAGAGGAAGACGCTATTAAATTATTGTATGTGCTTCATTTTATAAAATCCGTTTCTTTTGTCCGGGCAGCAGACCTGAAGTGAGGATTTGTAGTTGGGAGAAACGTTCTGCGACTGATCCCTCCCCCCAAAAAACCCCAAGACGCTCTTAGCGTCTAATTTGGCAAAAAATACAATCATTTTAATTTCATTCTTGCATTAGGAAGGCCGTTCCCTGCTCCATAAGAAACCTGAGCTGCTTCTAGGATCTTCCGTGAGCAACAGTCGTGAGCTGAGCACACATACAATTGCGATGCTTTGAATTTTCACGTGGGCGTGCCCCAGAGGGTGGGGGACCTGTGCTTCCCCCCAAATTATAGTCTTGGTGGCTAATTTTTGGATATGTGTATTGACAGGAGGGGTGTGGCTCTGACATCAGAAAATAGGGCCGGTGTCAGTCTTTAGTCTTTCCAAGGCGGAGCTCGGCAGAGTCGGGCAGCCGTGCAGCGCAGGCGGCGCTCACGCTCGGCCCAGCCTGGCCTGTCCGCCGCCCGAGTCCTCCGGCCGCGTCCCTTTCTACCCGGAGCCCGGCCGTGACTTTGTAAGGAATAAGCCCCCGGCCCCCGGCCCCAACACCCCTGTTCAGACGCCTCTCTGGACGCCTCTGCCCGCATCCCGCGAGCACAGACGTTGGTCCCGGCCGTGGCTCGGTGCCCCGCGTGCGGGGGCCTCGGGATGGCAAAACTCACTCCCCGCCCCGTGGCCGTGGCCAGTCTCTCCCGACCCCCGGGTGCCAACTTGGGCGTCGCCGGCAGGGCGCGGCGGCCAGGCAGCCCTTGCCTGTGCTTTGAAGTTCACTGCAGGCCAAGGCGCTCTGCGCGGCGGCCCCGTCTGTCTGTTGCATGAGGAGCCCGGGCTGCCCGCGGCGAGCGCTGGCCGTGCTCACCCCGCAGAGGGACTCGCGCGTCCCGTGTCCCTCTGTCCTCACTCCCGAGGCAGGACGCGGCCGACGTCTCCCCCACGGCCCGTAGCATCGCGTCCCGGAGGGCGGCCCTTTCTAGTCGATATTTATTTATCTGTGTAATAAAAAGAAGCTCGGTGTGTGTCTGTCGTGTTGTCTAGAGAGAAGGCATCTTGTGAAAAACACAAAAACCTGTTTTGTAAAAAAAAAACGATTGTAAATAGGCTGACACTCCGCGACGCGTCACCCTCGGGTTGGACTTTGTACAGGCGGTTCCGTAATAAAACACCCTTGGCGCTGCCTGCGGCGTGGACGCGTCGTGCACCTGCTGAGTGAGGGGAAAACGGCTTTTTTTTCCCCGGAAGAAGGGAAACGAACACGCGAAGCCCCGGCTGTCCTGGTCCGTCTGGGCGGACTCCGGGGCCTGGGAATTCAGCCCGACCACGCGGCCTGCGGGGTCCTGCGGCCTGGGGGGCTCCCGTGTCCACCCCGCCCCAGCCGTGGCCCGAGGACGTGGGCAGGACGCGGTGTCCGCAAGCCGCCCGGGGACCCCCACCCACGGCTTCTCCGGGAGGGGGCGCTCCTGGTAATGGGCTTGTGGCCTGTGTGCGCTCTTGGGGGGCCCCTGGGGGGGTTTATTCTGGGAAACAGGAAGTGATGAGTGACGTGGAGTCCGGACGAGGACACGGACGGCCGCGTGTGTCCCGGAGCCGGGCCCGGGGGGCGGGTGGGGTGCCGGCACCCCAGGGCACACACCTGTGTGCGGGGTGGGGTCCCCCCCGCCCGGCTCCACCAGCCCCCCGACTCTGCCAGGTGGGAGCAGGCGGGACGGGAGCCAAGGTCGCCCCGGAAACGGCTTCAGCCTGGAGCCACCCACAGGCCAGGACCCTGCCCCGCCCGGTGACTGGCGGCCAGGAGAAGGTCAGGGCGGCCATGAGAAGGTCAAGAGTGGCCATGAGAAGGTCAAGGGCGGCCATGAGAAGGTCAATGGTGGCCATGAAGTCAAGGGCAGCCATGAGAAGGTCAAGGGCGGCCATGAGAAGGTCAAGGGTGGCGTCTGTGGCTGGACAGCTTGGGGGCGGTCCTGAGTATCTTGGGGGGCCGTCCTGAGCATCTTGGGGGGGTCTGTTCTGAGCATCCGGGGGTCCTATTCTGAACATCGTGGGGGGCCCATTCTAAGCATCTTGGGGAGCCCATTCTCAACATCTTGGGGGGCCTGTTCTCATCTTGGGAGCCCATCTGAGCATCTTGGGGTGTCTGCTTTGGACATCTTGGGGTGCCTGCCATGAGCATCTTGGGGAGTCTGTTGTGAACATCTGGGGGGGCTCTGGGACATGTGGGGGCCCCATGGGATCATCTCCCAAGACCACAGCACAGTGCCATGGCAGGCCCCCCGCTAAGCCACACCCACTGAGCGGCGGAGACACCCACACACCTGCGGGCACTCAGCGCGTCTCCCAGTTCAACGTGTCCATCATGTGAGCGTTAGTAGTGGGGTCCTCCCAGCACCCCGTTAGCAGAGGCGGGCACGCAGAGTGCACCCCGCTGTTTCCATGAGCAGGGATGCCCAGCGTTGGCACCCCTATGCCCCTATTGCACCCCTTCATGCACACGCCAGCTGGGAATCGGGGTGCAGACAGGGGGCTGCACCCTGTATCTCCTATGAGGCTTAGGAGCCTGTAAAGGGCTCAGAGTTCACCGAGAGGTCAAATCTAATTGGTCGGGGTCATGGAGAGGTCAAATCTTATTGGCCGGGGTCACGCAGGGGCCATTGGGTTCACGGAGAGGTCAGTGAGCGTTTTTCAGACTTCGGTGAATTCTGAGTCAGTTTTCCTAGTCACTGGGGTCACGCAGCGGTCAGTGGGTTCACCCAGAGGTCAAGCCTAATTGCCGGGGTCACGCAGAGGTCAGTCCTGACGGGGAGCAGCTTCTCCGGGAGGGGGCGCTCCTGGTAATGGGCTTGTGGCCCGTGTGCGCTTTTGGGGGGCCCCTGGGGGGTTTTATTCTGGGAAACGGGAAGTGATGAGTGACGTGGAGTCCGGACGAGGACACGGACGGCCGCGTGTGTCCCGGAGCCAGGCCCGGGGGGCGGGTGGGGTGCCGGCACCCCAGGGCACACACCTGTGTGCGGGGCGGGGTCCCCCCTGCCCGGCTCCACCCCAGCCCCCCGACTCTGCCAGGTGGGAGCAGGCGGGACGGGAGCCAAGGTCGCCCCAGAAACGGCTTCGGCTTGGAGCGACCCTGCCCCGCCCGGTGCCTGGCGGCCATGAGGTGGTCAAGGGCGGCCATGAGACGGTCAAGGGCGGCCATGAGACGGTCAAGGGCGGCCATGAGAAGGTCAAGGGCGGCCATGAGAAGGTCAAGGGCGGCCATGAGAAGGTCAAGGGCCTCTGGCGGGTTTTATTCTGGAAAACGGGAAATAAAAACGGGAAATAAGGGGACACTTCAGTGAGGGGATGTCAGACGTGTGACGTGCAGATCAGCCTCTCCTGGGATGCTCCCACACGGAGCGTTTATGTCTTCATGAGCGGGGACACCGCACGCCGCTGCTCACGGACTTGATTTCAAAGCTCTTCCTTAGAAATCTAACAAAAATGAGTATTTGGACAAATAGTCATCGGAAATTTGCAGGTAGCAAACAGATTAAATTGTCAATTTTATTTATTTTGAAGGAAAGCGACAGCCAATGAATTTTTGAGTCCAAAGACCTTTATTTTATGTTTCAGCTTAAGTGAGTTTAGCAGTCTGGGCCATGTAGCTGTTAAAAAAAAATAAATTAATTGTCGTTAATATTTTATTAAAGACGGCTATTTTATTTTTGAAGATATATGTATGCACACAAGAAGTGGGGTGCAGGCCAGAGGTGTGGGGAGGGGGTGAGAGGACTCCCCAGAGACAGAGTGGGGAGTAGAACAGGTGGATCCACTCGAACCCACTGCTGAGGGGAGCAGCGGGCGAGGCGGGAGGGGTCTGCTGCGCCCCGTGGGTAACGCCCTGGCCGGCTGGGGATGAATCAGGCCCCAGCAGCTGGCGCCAGCTTGACAGTGCTGTCTTGAACCCCTGCGCCCCCAGGGAGGCCCATAAAGAGGGCTACCTGAATAAGGAAAAAAAAGAGAGCAGGAGGGTGGAGATACGCTGGTGACACATCGGACGTTGTCTGTCCTCCCCAAAGCCGCTGAGCACAAACAGGCGGCAGCGGGAACCACTGTGTGCAGGTTCGGGGGCTCCCTGGCAGCTGGGCTCCGCCCTCCATGCCCCAGACTCCGCAGGGGGGTGGCAGGAGATGGTGCCCCAAAGGCCCACCCCCGGCTCCACCCCCACGAAGGGTCAGCGTCCGGCCTGGGAGCCGCCCACACTGACCCGCTAACACCTGCCCCGCCCGGAAGTCTGGGCCGAACCCCAGGAGCACGGGAGAAGCAGAATCCCAAAGAACCGAGGAATAAAGAAATGACGGGCACAAAACAAGGTTTAGGAGAAGCGGGAGCCAGGACGCGAGGCCTCTCGGTCCAAGCGCCAGCGCCCCGAGCACCCCGAGCGCCTCACTTTTATGGATACAGAGCAACCCCCCTCCGGGTGAGCCACGGGATCCCTCTTGGCCTGTGGCCTGGTCCTGGCGCACGTTCACTGCCGAGGTTCTGGTGATCGGGGAGCCTCCACTCCCCTCTCGGGCTGAGCTTTGCTGACACAGGACAGGACATCGTGGTCTGGACACGGCCACTCGGCCAGGCCCGTGCTGCCCAGTGCTCCCGCCCCCCGACATTCCCCCAGGCCCAGCCCCGCAAGCCTTAGGGGTCCCCAGCACCTCCGGAAGGAGAGAACTGCAACCCGGGGTGCACAGCAGTAGCGGGAAAGCTGGAACGGCCTCGGGGGCTTGGGGCTGGGCAACACCAGGCTCCTTACTGGGAGAAGTGGATTCCGGGTTAACAAGCTCGAACTGCCCCGTCCCTGGTGCTCTGGAAAGGGACCTGATGATTCTGTCCTTGCCGGCCGGAAGCCCAAAACCCCAGCTCTCAAACAACTGCCCACAGTGTCTTAAAACAATGGCCTGTGGCCCGGTCCAGAGGTCTGTGACCCTGCTCAAAGGTCGGTGACCCCGTTCAAGGGGTGAGGTATCCCGAGTTCTCTGCAGGGTCCCCCTGTCCTGTTCCCCCCCAGTTCCCCCCAGCAGGCATTCGAGGCCCAGCCCCGAGCACAAAACCAACTTTGTCCACCTCCGCTCTGCACCCGCCAGCCTCCTGCAGGAGGGCCCGAGGCCAAAGCCGGCAATTATCCAGCTGCTGACAGCCCGGCACCTGTAAGGAGGCAGGACGCGCTGGGGCAGCAGCATCCAGCCTGGCAGCGGCCTGGAGGCCAGCGGCACCCCGCCGCGGAACATGAGCTCAGCTTAAATCAACAGGCGGCCCCCTGAAAGCGCAGCCGAGAACTTGGGGTGTGCTCTCCATGGAGACCAAGGCCTGCCCGCCGTCTCCGGGACGTCGCGGGAGGAATCCTTTGCACGGGCTTTTCTTGACGGCCATAGGAAATCGTTTGTGCGGCTGCCTTTTGGCTGGGAAGTGGTCCTGCCGCCCCCTCCCGCCCACAGAGCACTGGGACCTGGCTCCACCAAGTTCTCTTGATGTCTGTCCAAACCCCAGAGACGCGGAAGCTCCAGTTTCAGAAACAAAGCCGGGCTTGGGGGCTCCGAGGGGGCTTCCGCGCTATTCTCACTCAGTGTCTACTGTGTCCTCAGGCTACACTCCCCGACCTGGGGGCAGCCCCCTGGAGCCCCTCACGGGGAGGGAGTGGGGGATGCAAATGAGGCCTCTGATGGCAAATGCACAGGAATTCAAGCCTGCGGGCCCGGGCCTCCCGGAAGGCAGGCGATTGTCCGCATGTAAATGGCACAGCAGCTTCCACGGGGCCACCCAGGCTAGGCTGAAGCCAGAGCTGGGAGCTGCCTCCAGCGATCATTCCCCAGCCTGGGAGAAAGTCCGTCTGTGCCTGTCGGTGGCTGCTTTCAGCGTTCCCGGCACCGTGATGCACTCCCTTTAACACGCCTCGAAACGCATGGTCTTGCAGGTTTTTCTTGACAACAGACGGCATTCGAGAAGAATATCTGAGTGGCTTCTCTTTCCCCCACCTTCATGGTCCTGGAAATTCTGATACTGGAGAAGAATCAACCTCTAGGTAATACTGTCGACTTGAAACTCCCCCCACCCCCCAACATCTCATATCCCTTGTCCCCCGCCCCCCTCCCTCTTAACCTCAGAGCCTTCCTGGCATGAAAGTGTTTCATTTCTATCCAATCGTCCATGTAAATATCCAGCATGTGTTTTTAGCCCCCTGACCTACTTTGCTACACACAATTCCCTCCATCTTCAAAGTGGCTGCAGCTCATCCTTTTGAAGGCTGCGTAATACTCCCCGCTGTGGATACACCACATCTTCTTGACCCAATTTTTCATGTCCTCCCCGTTGTAGATAACGACCCTGTGAATATTGCGGGGCATGCAGGAACTGTTTCTTAATGGGACTTGATAAAGAATTAAGAATGAGAGAGACCAGTGCCCTTTCTATGTGGAAATCGTACCACGGGACTGTGATTCTGACTCTAATCAAGGAAGCCAGAGATAGTGAGAAAGACAGAAAAATCACTTCGAGGTCCAGTTAGAGGTGAAGGGACGCTGCAGGGGAACCACAAGGGTTGATGACCCTTTACCTGTCCTTGTACTGTTTGTGAATTAGTCTCTCTCTCTCTCTCTCTCTCTCTCTCTCTCCCCCACACACACACACACTAAATTTGCAGTGGCTTGAGCAACATCACATTAAAAGCAAGAGGAACAGAAGAGCAGTTCTGGCATGGACAGTTTGTTCAATAAATGGTGCTGGGAAAACTGGACCTCCACATGCAAAAGAATGAAACTGCAACAGGGTGGTCCCCAGGAAAGGGGGAGGTTCCCTGCCCCACCCAAGGGAGGGTGGAGCTGAGCAGGAAGAGGAGAAGCTGCAGAAGAGACTGAGGAAGGAAGCAGGATGGAGCCAGGAGACCTGGAGGAGGCGCATGGAGCCTAGAGACACGTGAAGAAACTGCGCTTGTCTTTTGGTCGTGGACTGGGTGACACAGATGTGGGTGAGACCCGTGGGGAGGTGACAATGGCAGCTTTTATCTTGATGTTGATTTTGCTCTTTTCCTTCCGGGCTTGTCCAGTTGTTTGTGACCCTTTTCTGTGGGTCCCCACTGGAAGATGCTTTAGACTTGTAGCAGGCTTTGGGGCCTTGTTCTGGGCCAATCCCATTTGGATGGACTTTTACCCACGAGGGGACGGGTAACTTTGGGCGCTTCATTTAGAAACTAGATTCTTTGCCTTACCTGTATTGTTTCCTAGTTTTATTAAAGTTCCTTTTCATTAAAGTCTCCTATGTTTTGTGTTGATGCGGCAGATGGCAGAACCCATTTAGAATAGGCAGGTTTGCGGGGTTTGGGCTGACCCTTTTCCCTGTCCTATAACAAAACTAGGCCACTACCTCTCACCATGCACGAAAATCAACTCAAAACAGATGAAAGAACTGGACATAAGACCTGAAACCATAAAATATATAGAAGAAAATACAGGTAAAACACTACAAGACAGACATCGCAGTAACATCTTTAAAGACTCGTCACCCCAAGCAGTGAGAGTGAAGGTAAAGGTAAACACCTGGGATTACATCAAGCTGAAAAGCTTCTGTACAGCCAAAGAGACATTAACCAAAACAGAAAGACACCCCACTGACTGGGAAAAAATCTTTGCACTCCAGTCAACGGATAAGGGGCTGATCACAAAGATATACAAAGAACTCACAGGGCTCAACAAAAACAAAATAAACAATCCAGTCGAGAAATGGGCAGAAGGTCTCAAAAGACATTTCTCCGAAGAGGAAATGCAAACGACCAACAGGCATATGAAAAAATGTTCAACATCCCTTATCATCAGGAAAATGCAAATCAAAACCACACCGAGACACCACCTTACACCAGTGAGAATGGCACATAGCAAAAAAAAAAAAACAAGCAACAAGCAACAACAAGTGTTGGCGAGGATGTGGAGAAAAAGGAACTCTCCTGCACTGCTGGTGGGAGTGCAAACTGGCCCAACCACTATGGAGAGCTGTGTGGAGGCTCTTCAGTCTACTAAAAATGGAGCTACCATATGACCTGGCAATTCCACTCCTAGGGATCTACCCAAAGGACACAAAATCAGTGATTCAAAAGAGCACCTGCACCCCTATATTTATGGCAGCCCTATTTACAATAGGCAACACCTGGAAACAGATGGATCAAGAAGATGTGGTACATATACACCATGGAATATTACTCAGCAATCAAAAAAGATAAACTCATGCGATTCGCAGCAACATGGATGGAGCTGGAAGGAATGATGCTCAGTAAGATAAGCCAGAAGGAAAAAGAAAAAAATATCGGATGGTTTCACTTATAGCAGGAATATAGGGGAACCCAATAAGACATCAGTGTAAAAAAAATAATAAAAGTACAAACCACAACCAAGCAAAATCAGACAATTGTAAACCAGCGACATCGTGCAGGGGAGGAGGAGGCAGAGGGATTGGAGGGAGGGCGGGAGGAGCACAGGGGGCTGTGGTGATGGTGCACGGGTGCCTTGGGGAAGGAAATTCTATGGGGACTCCACCTGAGAGAGTGGGGGAAGCAAATATTGTCTAAAAAAATGTAAAAACATTGATAAATGTTAAAATTTTTAAAAAATTTAAAAAAAGAAAACAAAAAAACAAAATACTGGTTCTGGGAAAGATACATTCTGTCCCCGCCAGTGACGTGTATTCAGGTGTTACCTGCATGTCCCGGGAACTACCTTTGCATTCACTGCTTAACACAAAATGAGAGCAAAACCATCTCCATACCTGTGTGAGGGAAGGATGTGACCTTTGTCACTCATCAGCATCAATCCAAGGGGGGTTTATCTCCGTATTTGCACAGCCATGTCTCCAGTAGAAATCAATCCTAGTTCGCTCTTCCCCAGCAAGTGCCTGGTTGAAATAAAGTCACTTGATACTGGAAACAATGATGGGAACAGACACGCCCGCCCCACCCAGCACGGGGCTGGGCATGCGTGCAAGGTGCATGCACAGTCCACTAGCTCTGATGAACGGGGACGCTAGGCCCTGACTCGTTTCTCCCCCAGAGGTGAGCATATCAAGGCAGCGTCACTGCACGCTATTACTCAGAACCCCCATATTCGCGTCACCCCCTCCCCCGCAGGGTCCAAGGGCTGCTGGATTTGTGCCTCCACCAGGAGCAGCACAGGGTGCCGGCCCTGGCAGGGAAGTGCCAGCAGCTCCAGTGGGGACACGTGTCTGGGGGTGTCACCTAAGACGGTTTGGGGGGGAGAGTGGGGTAATTCCAGTGGTTGTGCTGTAGGCAATCTTTCTCAATCAAACTGGTGTTATTTAATCTTCATCAAGGGCAATACCTTTGCATCCAAATAGCCATCCAGCTCCGTGGATGTGATAGAGGGCACCAAGGAAGGAGCACTAAAACTGGCCAAGGACATGCCCAAATAGTTTACTGGCCACTGTCTGAATCCTCCACCCACACACACAATCGTAAGACTGCTCAGGCTCAGAAAACAACAGTGGATTTATTTAACAAACCAGGGAAGCAAAGAGTCACCGAGGCCTCGAACAGTCGTTTATCCTCACCTGAGGCCGTGTCCAGTGGCGTCCTCAAACCACCGAGGGCTGCAGTGTGTGGGCCAGACAACAGGCCGGGATCCAACTCACGAGCACAGCAGGAGACACAACAGGAGATGCTCGTGGAGCCACTGAGATGCCCCAGCACAGCACCCGGCATGCCACATTCAAAACAGCAGGTGCAGGACCTTCCTGGTGGCGCCGGGGCTGAGTCTCAGCACTATGAAGCTGTCCACAGCCACTGTGACCTGAGTTGGATCCCCTGCCAGGGAGCTACCCACACGGTGCAGCAGACCTCTCCTGTCTCCCCGCTGCTCCCCTCAGCAGTGGATTTCAGTGGCTCCGCCTGTTCTGCTCCCTCTGTCTCTGGTGAATCCTCTCACCCCCTGCACCTCTGGCCTGCACCCCAGAACTTGTATGCATAAGTAAATACAATAAATATTTTTTAAAAACCCCAGCAGCTTCAGCGGCATAACAAACGACCCGACAAACGGCCACACTCACAGCCCAGTGAAGTGCCGGCTCCGGTCCCGGGTCTCTGCCTTCCCTCCAGCTGTAACATCAGCAAAACGGCAACAATTTTAGTTGCTCAGCTCCATGCAAAGCCTCCAAACTGCTCCTCTCTGAGGTTGGCGGCCGGAGGCCTCGCCCCGTCCTTCAGAGGCCGCAACAGCCTTTCGTAAGGTCTGCGTGGTGGACGCCGGAAGGGCTGACCCCAGACGCTGCCTCTGCAGTCCTGTATGTTTCTCATCACTCTCCTCCCCACCTGCACCCTGTCCGCATTCCTCCTGGGGCTCTCCAGCCTCACCAGCACCGCCCTCCAGGGGGCGCCACCTCTAACAGCCCTGGGCTTCAGCTACTGCTGCAGGTGGAGGCCCCTTGGAGCCGAGGACTTGCCTGGGATGACTTGTCAGTAGACTTCATCTTGCCTCGACCTCCTTGGTCACCTACCCTACGTCTCTGCATCATCTCAGTGAAACTTGTGGTCAAAGCAAACTCGGGACAGGTTCTGGCAGGAGGAAGGTGTGCCCCCTGGGTCCTCCAAGGCCCGGTTTTCGGTAGGAGCTGTGCTTAGGGCTGCAGTGTCTGTGAACAGACTTGTTTCTCCATTTCATAAGACACATGAATGCACCTCAGTTCTGAGGCAACGCAGCCTCCGGCAGCTACCTGATGGCAGTGAGCAAGCAGGAACGGTGCCTTGGGGGTCAGCCACACTGGCTGGGCATGGGAGGCAGCCTCAGACTCTAAGAGCACGTCTGTCGCAAGGCCGTATGGCTTCCATCCAGATCCAACCTCAGGCCATCATTAATCAAACAAAGACCGCCTGCCTCGTCTTCCGTGTGCAGAGCCTCAGCACGCATTGTCAACGCTGCATTCTGTAAGAGACAGAACCATAAATGCCCTTCTGTGTGCAAGAAGTAGTGTTTATCTGAAATCATTTGCACATCTAGGTCTTTTTTCTGACAAGCGAAGGCATTTTTAAATATTGCATTATCGGAGAGTCCCTGTTTACATTTTGTTCTTTTTCATCTCAAGCGGTGGCACTAGGACTGCATGTCAAAGCCAAACAATAAAAGTTACCAAATGCACGTGGAATCTCGTGGGGTGAATTTTAGAGAGGAAAACACATACAGATTCACAGAGGGAGGGCCACGTATCTCAAATAGCTTTTGGAGAAACAGACCTGCGGGGAATGATGACAGAACCTGTCAGTGGCCCTAACTAACCTACACTCAGCAAGGGACATTAATTGAAGATTAATAAAGCTTTGATTTATATTTCACTAGCTGTCGCTTGAAATCCGCCAGGGAGCTGGTGCTGGGGTAGGAGTTGTAGCAGCCATTTTTAGCTTCATCCGCATTCCTTGAAAAGACCGTATTAAAAGTATTCTTTCAGCAAGTGCTTCATGCTCTTTTTCATTACCACAGACCTAATAATCTTTGTGTGAAGCCAGCCTGCAAGGCTCACCAGGGCCACAGAAAGAACAGCATGCCCAGAGGGGTTTCCAAACCTCATGTCTTGCCAGGGAGTATTTCAGGAAGAAGGAATTATTTTTTGGACAAAATAGGGGTTTAAAAAATATCCGTATATATGAATTTCATATTAGTTCAAGCTAAAGGAATCCATAGTTGGTCGGAACTTTAGTAGTTGTGTGTTTTTTATGTATGTACAAAAATGGTCTGTAAATATATGACCTTGTTGATTTACAAAATCCAGAATTATTTAAGGAAAAAAAAAAAACCCTTTTGTTCATGGGGGAAAAAAACGGTCATGAATCAAGGATTCAGTCTAAAGTTATTTCCAGCAAAAAGCAAACAATATTCATGACCTTGAGGTGTCACAATGCAAAGAATCACGTGAGCAATTGAGAAGGGAGAGGAGCGTGTGCAACCCCAGAAGGAAAGATTTATCATCAAGACTCTACAGACACAGCCCGTCTACCGTCCAAGGCCAAAGGCATCTTTTCTTAAAAGACAATCCCGCGGACTGAAAGGACCGTCTACACCACGCGAAGCACCATTTTAAAGCAACACTAGCCAAGGAACAAAGACACCAACTCCAAATTGGTGCTACCCTCCAACGGGACTGGGCGAAGACGAGGAAAAGAGGGCCAAGGTCTTCCCACCGCCAAACAATGGGTGGATGAAGGGCCTGGAGTCTGCAGGGCAGGCTTCCCCCAACCAAATGCAAAGGAAATATGTTTATGGCAGAGAATGAAAGCAGCAGCCAGGAGGGCATGGACGCGCGCTCAGCCCTGTTACAAGATGGCCGCCCTGACGTCACCAATGGGAGGCGCCATCTTGTTTTCGCATGGCGGCTCAGGCTCGGTTCCCGGAAGTATTTCCACAGGAGGGTTTACAGGCCGGTAGGCGACCCAGTTTGGGGGCGAGCAGGGCGCTGGGTGTGCTCTGTTCTCTGCCTCTCCCGTCACCCCATCTTCTTCGGTCACCCCATCCATCTTCATGTCCACCTGGCCCTGGGTGTGGCGGGAGGGGCCAAGGAAGGGCGCTGGTGGCCACAAAGCGAGCGTTTTGCGCGTCCTGTCTGCGTTTCTGGGCTGGGAGTTGAGCGCGTTTTCTCGGCTGCTCACTTCTTGTCTTTCCCTCCTCTGGTCAGGACACAAGCTACTTGGAATTGTACCAGGTTCCTCGACTGATTTTGAAGAGCTCTTTTTTTCATTCTCTCAACCAGGAATAGCTGCTGAGGACCAGGCTTTTTCCTTCTAGGCAAGCATGGGGCTCCTGAATGTATATTTAATATGCATGTTTATAAACATATATGCTCTATAGGACTATGATTACACATGAACGTACCAGAAAAATAGATACTATTGTGTAGACATACATGCAGATACGATTGAGAAGAGAAAAACCGGATGTTTGTATATAATATAGATTATGACATGCTTGCACATGCTTTAGGCTGTACTTGTGAATGAAACGTGTTCTTTCTAATCCTGTAAAATTCCCATTCCATAACATTCTGTTACAGATGACACTTTTTGTCTCCCTGGTTTGTCTCAAACTTTTCATACCTTGGCTTTTCTCAGTTGTTTAGGAAGCATCTGCAAGCTAAACATTTCTGTGACCTAAAAATCTATAAAGTAGCTACTTAACCCTTTGGCTTTTGCATTTGAGGCGGAACTTGCACAGCAATGTTGAAGACGGCGGGGAAGCCGAGTGAGCCTGGCCGTGCTGACTTTGGGAGAAACAGCAGGAGGCTTCCTCCTCCCTGTATGATGCTCTTGCTTGGGAAGAGCATCCTTGGGTGTGGTTTTCCCCTAGTTCTAGCTTCCGCGGACTCTCCTCAGAAGAACCCACTTCATTTATCAAAGGCCCCGCATCGCCTGCCACCTACACATACAAACAGCCGCCTTTCTCCTTGAACATGTCCTTACAATAAAAGATCTTTACGTATCCTGGCGTGCCGGATGAAAACAATCGCTCGTCCTCATGAGAGCTTTGGATTCTGTTGGCTGATCAGCTCCAACTTTTGCATCAAGTCATGCACACAAATCATGTACACAATTCTATATTTTTTCAATCATTTTATACCTTAACGCATGTCAGTGTTAAAAGGATGCTAATGTCAGGAAACTGGGTGGTTTCCCAGCTTTTTCTGTAACCGAGGAAAGTTTACATTTCACAAAAATGACTTCTATTTAGAGCGCAAATTGACTTCAGCTGTACAACCATCTGGACCTGGTGTGTATTATTTTTTCACCTCGCGTCTCCTTAAATCACCTTTTCAATACCTTTGCTGATGATGTCAGTGTTCCGCCTCTCTGGGAAGCAAGTCTGGATACCTTTCCAGAAGATCAACCATCCTCTCTTCAATGCTCCAATGAACGGTCACACAGGTGCACAAAACATGCTCTTAAAATTCATTTCGTCTCTGTTTTTATTCATTCCTTTTTTGCTTCATGCTTGTTTTCCCTAATCTAACTTTGGGAATAAACAAGTATTCAACGTAGTCTCAGTTTCAAGAAATAATGTTAGGCTCTATTTACAACTGCTAATATTTATACTGTTTCTCTAATTCCTACTTTTATCTCTACTTTTTGTTACCATCACACCCCAAGCAAACCGCCCATATTCAAGTCTTTCTCTCCACCTGCTCCCCAGGTAGACACACACCCTCCCCCGATGACCTCCCCATGCCACGTAATTGAAAATAAAATTTTCTTTTCTGCTATCTTAATGTCTAGAGGCAGGTAATTCCCTTACTTAATTTGCCAGTGTAGGCAGATCTGGAATGTTCTTGTAACACGTTTTTTGGTGAATTTAACATCTGCTTTATAATTCAGATCGCAGGTCCTAGTCTTGAACCAAGAGACATGCTGTGAGCAAAAAGACGTCTCCCAATCTGTTCTGGATGCATCTGCAAAGGTGGCCACCTCTTGCTTTAGCCTGAGAAAGCTTTTCAAAGCAAAAGCTTCTCCCCAGGGCCCCCAAAGACAATAAGCCCTGGAGTCCAGGCTTATTTAGAACCTGACATTCTCTGCTCAGTAGCGCGATCTCTGTTTTCAGAGAAACCGCACATGGACAATTTGACACACCCTGTGCACGCCAGACACCGTGGCCTGCTTCTGGGAGGAAGACAGCAGGTGGACACAGGAAGACAGCAGGTGGACAGCAGGTCAGAGACAACAGGTGGACACACGTGCTGCTGCGGCCAGCCCAGCTACCTGGCAGTGGACTTGGACGCAGCCTCCATGCGTCACACTGCTGTCGTCCATTCCCGAACGTAATCCCTTCTGGAGCTGCTCAACAGCGGGTTAGGGCTGCTGCTGTCCCGGAGCTTACCGGAGGCCGGGGAAGGAGCCCGCCGTCTCCTGCACAGGACCCTCCTGCAGCTCGGAGCCCGGGATGCATGAGCTGCCCTCAGAGATGAACTGCTCAGGAAGGAAGCGGGTCCAAATTGAGGTGAAACCCACTTACCCATCTGGTCTTTCTCAAGCACTCGGGAGGGTGGAGGGCCTCTCCACTTAACCACGCACGCCTCTCAGGGTATCTGCTCGGGGTGACGATGAGGCTTCCGAGATTCTTCACCCACAGTGCTTTTGTCGACAGGCTCACCTCGGTGTCAAAACGTGCACTCGACACAGTCGCTCATGGATTCCCTGAAAAAACACTCCCTGTGGTCAGCCTCGCTCTTTGGGGCCACATACACACACGTCACTCCAAGCATTTTGCTCATTCAGCCAACAGTTTCCCCCCGGGCTGTGCTTATGCAGACAGAGCGAACCCTCTCCTTCCAGAAGCTCCAGTGGTGCGACCTCCAGCGCCACGTGTCTGAACGCGCTCCAGGTAGGTGTGAATAAAGCCACTGTTTTAATTTCTTTTATTTGGTTAAAAAAAAGTATATAAAGCCAGAGAACAAAGTTCTGCGTTTTCTCTAAAGCAGTGTAGTCTAACGCAAGGCTGGTGGTTTTTTAATATGGGGGAGAAGGACTATGATTTTTAAGCAAAACCTGTTTGGGGGCGGCACCTTTTTGCTCCCCGACAAAGCAGCATTACCCAACTCACCTACAGATCTTGTTTGCTGCTGCCGATGACTGATCTGGGGGTGACATCATTTTCTTTATTTGCTCAGCATTATCGTAGCCATCTCTCCACAACCGATGATGGAAGCAGAGTTTGGCTGCGTGACCACAACTTGCCTGAGGCGGTTGGGCAAAGTCTGGCTGTGCAAAAAAATAAACGGCATGGGGTGTGCAGGCTGCTGGAGCCCAGGGCAAAGGTGGCAGAGTGCACGGAAGCAAAGGGAAACCAGCACTTCTGAGGCCAAGGGGGCACAGAGAAAGGCCGGCCAGGGCTCCCTGCACCCCTGCTCTGGGCCTCTGGCTGCACTGGGCACCGGGTCCTTCTCGGTCCAGCGAGGCCGTGAGCCGTCTCTGCTGACCCCGGCCTCTCACGCGCCTGGTGATGGAGATGCTGTCGGGCCCTGATTTCCTTAACTCTGTCTTTTTGGGAAAAGGCTGATGCAGGGGCCGAGTTCAGGGGCGCAGTCCTGCATATTTTAAGCGTGCATATTCCATAACCCCCGGCGCCCTCCAGTGAGTCACACGTTAATTTTGCACGCTCTCACTTTTGGAAAAGCCCAGGGCAGTAGATGATCTTCTCCAAGCACCGCGGAAATGAAAGTCAGGCGGACAGAAACCGAATCTGCGTCGTCTTCCCTTTGGAAAGTAGAAGGACAACATTAGCCTGAATTGCACTGAAATGCTCGAGTTAAAATATTAACATTTTCCACTTAAAATGAAATCGAATAACGGATAGGAAAGTAATGCATCCATCGGCGGCTCCGGAGCGTGAACGGTGAAATACAGTGAGCCTTTGTCTCTGTGACGGGGCTCAAAAGTCAGGATCGTCTCCAGATAGAAAGATTTCAGACATGCAAATATTTGATGAATCTCGAGTCTGTCATCGTGACTGTGTGGTTGCTGGGCCAATCTTGTTGAAAACCTCCGGGACCGGATTTTAGACCTTTTTAGTCTAATGCTCCTTGTCGTGCCCGGACAGGAACTTCCTCGCGCAGACGACGATACGGCGCGGACGGTGCAGTGTTAGAAATAAAACGAGGTGGTTTTTCATATTATGTTCTCTACACACGCCCGCGTTTTTTCTCACTTATGTTGACTTAAACCTCTCGCAGCTGACGGCCACAACCTACTGCCAAGCGCTCACATTTTCGACACCCCAACAGGCAGGAGGTAACAGCACCGGGGCTGCTGAATTTGCATAGAGCCCCAGGCTCTGAGGATGCTAGAAAAACAATGACGCAAAGAATACGCTTCCCGTATTATTTAAAGGCGTTGAAATGATTCTGTCTAGAAGACACGATCCACGTTGGCAATGGGCTGCTAACTGGAATAATATCCCTGAAATTCTCTCCACTCTTGCATATGGGAGTTGCAACCGCCCTGTTCCAGACAGAACACCCCCTGCCTCCCTTCCTTCATGGAGACCGAAGGAGAGGTCTCCCCAACATGTCTAGGTAGGTCTCCCCAAAACTGTCCCTTAGACATGTGTGTTATTCCCGGCTGAGTTCAACGGAAGCCCTGGAGCCTCTGGAGGCGCGCTGACCGCTTCCTACGCTACCCAGAAGACTGAAAATTTGGGAGATGACCCAGAACCAGGGTTTTCAGCAGAAATAACCTTTCTGTGGGAGAAACTGTCCTGTCCGGCAGGCAAACAACTAATCGCAGAGCATCTGGGTGGCCAGGGAGGGAGCTCCCCTCTGTGTGTGATGCCAACGCCCGTTAGGGGATTCCCTGCTTGGGATATAAACCCCCATCTGCCCCACTGCCTCTGGGACGCCCCCCGGGTAGGTGACCCTTACATGTAACTAATTAATGTGTTTCTTCTCCTAACCTGACAGGCGAGAGGGACGGGAGGGGCGGGTAACTCTCCCCCAAACTTACCTTCAGGCCTTGTGCAGGGCTGTCCCGCTGGGTGTGGCTGGATGCAGGCTGAGGTTCCCAGGAAGGCGACTCTCAAGTGCTGGGCTCACGTTCTGGGATCAAGCCCCAAGGAGCCGCCTCTCCTCTGCTTCTTCTTACTTGTCTGCCTTAATTAAGTGACTCTGTGTGTTCCCTACGGGGAGCCAGCGGCAGGACTCCCCGAGAGTGACCAGTATCCTCAGCTTTCACCAGCGACGTGCTGTAGGCGCCGAGAGCAGTTTGCCAGCAGGGGCTTGGTGGTCAGCAAGTGGACACCAAAGGCCAGCTGGCCCTGGGACACTCCTGGGTTTGCATGAAAACTTTTGTTCCCATGTTGTATTGAAAACCGTCAGATGAGGCCGAGGACATCTGTCCTGCGGGCACTGCCTTGGGCAGAGACTCGCAGTCAGCTTAGACCCTTGCTCCGGATCCTTGTGAGTGTATCCCGTGGAGGGGCTGCCGCGCACACGTGCCAGCGTGAAAGGGTCCCTTAAAAAAAAAAAAAAAAGAAATATTTGTGTCATCGGTTGGGATGCAAAGAAAACCACCCCCTCTGGCTTCTTCCAGGCTGCAATAACCAGGCATCACGACGCACTGGTACCGGAAAAAAAGGATCGGGTGGTTCATCATGACAGTGCTTCGTCCTGCAGACACAGGCCAGGCCGCAGGACCAAGCCCGCCACCCACAGACGCTCACACCATCTTCGCCAGCTCGGCCGAGACGGAAGGGCTTCGGGGTGCGGGTGGGAGCCCTAAGGTGTCCTGAATTTGCACAAATGTTTACAATTTTGCATGGTACTTAGACGCTTTCCATGTGGGTGAAACTATATCAAAATTTTAAATTCCCAAGATAACAAAAGCAAGGGTGAAAACGGGGAAACCGGCACAAGTAACCGGCCGCGTCTGGGTGGCCAGTACGTTGCTTTCGAGCTCATTCTGGCTAAATGTGGGGAGCCCGCTAGGCCCGTGGCTGCAGCTTTCTGTGAGATGGGGCGTCCCTCCACTGCAGATGCAGGCCCAGCAGCCTTGGCCTCACTCCGGGCCCCCCCAAATCTGACATCAGAGCAGCGTCACCAGGTGGCACACGGCCGACGTGAAGTCTGTGTGTGGGCAGGTGCGCCCCCAAATCCCCGGCTCTGTTGTCTTTCTCTGCACAGGAAGACGCGTCCTCTGTCCGAGGGGCCGGCAGGAGGTAGAAGCTAAAAATGGGCTTGAATCAGGGCAGCGATCCTTGAGCTGATTTGTATTTTTGAAAGGCTTTCATGAATGTTTTCAGCGGTTCTCTCCGCTCCATGCAACTGAGAGATGCCGAAACACTGACCAACAAAGAACTCGTATCTGGAGCGTGGTCTTGAGTGGCTGCTGAGGCCGGACTCCGTGGCTTAGGTGCTAAGTGAGCCGGGAGGGTCAGCTCAGGCGCATTCAAGCAAGCAAGTGACCTCATCTCCGCCATCCACAAGCCACTCTGAGCCCCCTCAAGGCTCAATCTCATGAAGGCCTCTTCTGGGGACGGTGGCTTCCAGGGTCCGCTGGGGAGGGCCCATGCCCGTGCATCCAGCCTGACTCACCAGGAAGGAACACGGGTGCTTCCTCCACCGGCCGAGTCCCCGGGGACCTCTCCAACCCACGGGAGCCGCTGTGGCTGGTTGTTCTGGGGAGGGGCCCAGGGACAGAGCGGGTTCACCAAAGTGGAGCAGACCCCACGCCAGACCCTGGCTCCGAGGGTGGCCCACGGCCAGCCCGTCCCCCTCAGCTGGGAGCTGGCGAGAAATGCAGAGTCTCAGGCCTGAGCCAGTCCTGCCGAGTGGTCAGCTGCGTGTTAGCAAGAGCGCCAGGGGCTTAGGTGATCGGGGAACATTGGGGCACCCTGGCCCGGCCCAGTCACCCTCTCAGAGCTCTAGCTGCGGCATTACACAAAATGGAGAAGTAATTCTGAACAGTCTTACACCGAAGCTGAGGTTTAATGCGACGCAACACCACAGATGAGTGACAGAGTAACAGGCAGCAACCCGGAGCAACGACTTCAGCAGCCGAGAAATGTACAAACAAGGCTGGTAACCGCGGTGTTGCTCTCGCAGGTGAAAGTGAAGCTTCTAGTCCATAAAACTGCCTCCTCTTTCAACACGAGGAAGGAACTCAGGGGGGAACTAGGGGCGCTGAGCGTGAAACAGCTGCGCTCTCTCCTGAGGAGCCGCTCCCGGACCTTCTTTGTCACTGAGGCATGTCCAGTAATTCAATGGTGGCGATAAATAAGCATCTATGAAATTGTAATTTTACACGTGCACACACCCTTTCCCTGCATTTCTCTTACAGTTCGACTCCAAGTAAAAAGTCCAAACCGATCAACGGTCCAATTCTTCAGGCTCCCGTGCAGGCTCCAGGTAGTGCTGGCTGCGCGGTGGGTGGCAGCCACTTGGCATCTTTGTGAAAGATGCACTGAAGATGCACCTGAAGACGCACCTGAGCTCAAGCCTTTGGGCCTTGATTTTCCCCCAAGGCTCTCCCAGCCCCGCCCTGCCCATTGTGCTGTCATCACCAGGTGGGGGTGTCCTGGTGTCCACAGCAACCACCAATCCGGCCGGTCCTGCTCCCTCTCCCTCTGTGAGTGACTGGGGTGCCCCAGACCTAGGAAACCACCCCCTGGATTCCGAGACAGCGGCATCACCAGGCCCATCCCGCAGCTGGGAAGCCCTGGTACCAACGGTGAGCGGTGAGGCCGCAAGGGGCGGCCAGGGAGGCGAGAGTGAGGGACAGGGAGGTCAGAAAGATCCAGAAAACGGCTGGAAGTCAGGCGCAGGCCGTGGTTAATCCGACTGGAAGACGCTCATGGCTGTGAGCCAAGGGTTTAGTGATGAGGAGCAAGGAGCAGGGAGCCCCAACACCGCGAAACGCTGGGATCCCCGGATGCAAAGCAGCCGCCGAGCGATCGCCAGACTAAGGGGATGAGCCCAAAGTCGGTGGCGAAACGCTCACCTTGGCCTGTGTGCGCGGATGGGCGCCGGCCTCGCGGGGACCCCGAGGAGCAAGAGGCGTAACTGCTGTTGTTCCTCAGCTGAGCCACAAAGCAGCGGGCGCTGGAGAAGTCACGACACAGGGAAGCAGCGCTGGCCCGAGGCAGGCGTGCAGCTCTCGGATGGCCGCTGCCTCCAGCTGAGGAGCAAGCCAGGGCGCCACTGTGCGGGGAGCGAGTTCAGAAGCGCCCTTTCCGAAGGTGGTGGGCAGCCGGGCTGGGGGTGACGGCCTCCGAGGGCCAGGAGGAGAGGGGAGGCCGTGAGATGCCGCCGAAGGCTGGTTCCAGGGGCGAGCGCCCAGGGCACCCCTGCTCCGCCGGCACCCCCAGCCGTGCCGAGGAACAGCGAAGGGGCCCTGCAAAGGTGGGAGGAGAGAGTTGAGCCCTTTCCTTCCTCTGCAGCGGGCCGGGGCGCAGCCAGGCCCCCCGGGACCAGGGGCTCGGGGACGGCAGCCTGCAGGCACGCAGGCAGTGGACGGCCAAGCCGAGCTGCCCGGGCCTCCAGGCCTTACACGGTGGCGGCCTGCGGGCCCAGAGGAAGGAGCCAGCCTTGTGGCCAGGATCGGAGCAGCTGCCGGCCCGGCCGGGTCTCCTGGGAGTCGGCCCGTCCTGTCCACCTGGGCAGGACTGAGGGTTTGGGGCTCCTGCAGTGGACCCGGGAGGGCGGAGGGGCTTAAGGCCCCAGGGACTGAGCGAGGGGAGCGGATGAGCATGTGGCCTCCTCCAAGCGCACCTGCCAGGGCGGGGCACAAGGCTGCGAGGAACAGGCGACCGGGGACACAGGGGAGCCGACGGCTGTGAGTCTGCAGCAAACTGGAAATCAGAAAGGCGAGCAAAGCCTGGGGGGGTCATCTTGGATAAACACAGCCAGATATTAAAAAAAAAAAAAATAAGCAACTGGGGCGGGGGATCCATATTTGGAACACGCTGGATTGACGCCGCAGAGGAAAGATGTGTCTCAGAAATGCACCGTAGGGTAAACACGAAGTGGGAAAACCCAGACAGAGGACGTGCAGCCAGCAAGAAGAGCAGCAAACCCCGAGTCCACAGAGCTGGAGAGAAAAGACAGCCAAGACGTGAACCCCGCGGGACAGACCGAGAAGCTGCCCCGCTCGCGTCACCTTCCCGGAGAAAACACACATTTCAGAGAATAACAGCCGGTCGGCCTGCGGGCAGCCAAGTGGGGTCAGCCCTGCAGCCCAGAGGCAGCCACACATCAAGCAGGAAAGTAAAAAACCAGGACAGGAAACTGGAAGGAAAAGACAGATGCGTGAGGATTTGTGGGGTGCAGGGGAGGAAGCTTCGGGGAGACGCTGACCCCTGAGGCTTCCTGCTTTCTCGGGCTTTGTGACCTGCAAACAGGCCTTGGGCCCACAATGCAGAGGAAGCAACCCGTGTGCAGGTGAGTATCGGGGAGGCAGCATCACAGCAGTATCGCGACCACTGATAGAAAACGGGGAGACACACTGTGGTCCCCGCAGAGGGGTGAGAAAAAGGATCCCCCGACCCAGCAGGCGGCGGGGGGAGGAGGGAGCAGCCCAGGGAGGCCAGAGGGAGGGAGCACAGCATCCGAAGGAAATGAGGGACATTTGTGCATTTATTACATGAATGTTAGGGGGAAAATCCACGCTAATAAAAAACAGAGAAAATTGCCATTAAATAAAAAGACAAGTTAGCAGAAGGGGCTGAAGACTGAACAACCCCGGGGTGGAATTCACAACCGGATTCCATCGCATTTAAATTGAATTTGACTTGAAATTGAATTTGTAACTAAACCTTCCTCCAAAGAAGATTTGAGACCCAACCCAGTATTTCCATGGACGCCTTGGAAGACACATGAAAGGGGACATTTTTTTCCTATCATTTGTAGAAATTTTTTGGCATAATCTGGAAATTATACAAAGGCCTTCGGGAACTAGAGGAAGACGTCAGACACGCCTTAACAGTCAGGACAGCCCTGATGGCAGAAATAAGTAAGAATAGTGTAAGAAAGGAAACAGGGGTGCATTTTTGGGGGGCGCGGAGGAGGGATTCAAGAATCTTAGCAAAAGCAAAGTCTGCGGCAGCAGAAAGAAAAAGGAAAAAAAGGAAAAAAAAGTGTTTTACAAATGCACAGCTGGACTGAAATCTGAAAACACAAGCAGGGAAACTGCGTTAATAACACAAAGGAGAGAGAGACAGACCTCCTCCTGGGCCCCGAAGAAAAGGTCATGAGACGCGGCGTTTTCTTTATAGAACGGAAGCAAACCCGGGGCATTTTAAGCACCCAGGTGCCCAGACGACTAGGAATAAGGTCAACAAAGGTCGAGCAAAACGTCCCGCCGCAGGTGACCCAACTCTAGGCGCGAAATCAGCTGGAGGGATGCGGTTCTCTCCCGGCAGCTCTTCTGCCAGGCCAGTCCTGGCATTTCTGGGGCGCGGCAGAGCTCCTGGAACCCCAGAGCCCGCAGGAAGCACACGCAGCTTCCAGGAGCCTGTG